GATGACAACATTGAGCGTGCATGTGAAATGATTCTGTTGAACAGACGAGTAACAGTGGATTATGCGGCAAATCATCTGCAAATCCGCCATGGCTGTGTGTATGAAATAATCCACGACACACTTGGATTTCAAAAAGTTTGTGTAAAATGGGTATCGGAAAAATTCACAGAAGAGCATAAACAGAAGCATTTGAACATCTGCAAACAAAATTTGGACTGATGCTTGAAGACAGGTAAAGCTTCTTTAAAAAAACAGAAATCATTACTGGTGGTGAGATATGGGCCCATGACTATGAGTCTGAACATAAATGGCAGCGTATAGAATGGAAACCTCAATCACTGACCAAGAAAAAGTTCAAAAGTCAACTATCAGCTGGAAAATTGATGCTTACAGTTTTCTGGGATTCTTGAGGGCCAGTATTGGAACACTATCAGGAAAAAGATCCAACAATCAGATGTTCACTGAAGAGCTGAAGCCTAGACTTCGGATTGAACGCAGAGGGTGGTCTTGCATGGCACGACCACACACCTCTGCCAACACTGTTAACACTCAGCAAAAACTTGGTTTTGAGGTATTAAAGCATCCTCCCTGTAGTCCTGATCTTGCTCCATCCAACTTTCACCTGTTCGGTCCCCTGAAAACCCTTTGAGGATGAAGATTCACCTCTGATGAAGAAGTGAAGACAACAGTGCATTCCTGGCCCACAGCTTAACCTAAAACATGTTTTAATAAAGGAATATGAAAGTTTTTTGACAGATTGACAAAGTGTATTGAAAAGCAAGATGGCTATGTCAAAAAATGATGCATTTGCAGTTTCTAAAAGTTGATTAAAATAAATTCTACATCCACCCAGAGAAACAGTGACGCCAGAGATGGAGCAGCTGGGGACTCTAGACCCAGAGAGGGAGAGAGGCTGTGTGCTGACGACTGAGGGCAGGCTTGGAGGATATATACCCTTTGGTTGGTTGATGATGCTTGGAGGGGACTGTAACCATGGCAATGAAATGATATACACTAGGATGAATGTAAAGCTAACGTTCTCCCATGTAAACTATCACATAACCACATAACTCACAAAATCGTTAGAAAAAAAAAGATTTAGCAAATTCAATGGGGAGTTCTCTTGCTGAAGTCTGAGGTATCTTGTGTTTACCAGGAACAACCCACCACAGAATCCTGCCACATCACTGGCTGGGAACGGTTTATGTAGGGTTTCCAGATTAACGATAGGATGTCCTATTAAATTTTAAGGTCAGATAAACAATAAATAATTTAAAATAATCATAAATTCTATATCCAGAGTGTGAATTATTTTTTAATTTTCCTGGTGTGGGCTGTAGGATAAGCACTAGATTACAAATCACAAGGTCGGCGGTTCAAACTCAGCAGCTGCTCCTGGGACACCCTATACAGGGTCGCTATGAGTCAGAACCAACATGTTATGTACACATATGTTGTTGTTAAGTACTGGCAAGTGGATTCTGACAGACAGTGATGCTGTCCATACAGGGTTTCCAAAGACACTACGGTTCAAGTCAACCTTGTAGTCTAGTGTTTGTCCTACAGCGCCACACCAGAACTCTATGTATATATATAAAATGAGTTTTACTTTTTCACCTTTTATTGTTTTAGTTTACTGATTACAATCCCCTGAATGTTGCATCATTTATCTCCCTCCCTCCCTGTGTTTCCTGTTTCTATTCTTCTCCTTTCCAAAGCCTGTTACACTTTGTCCTTCAGTAAATGCTGCCCTTTTGATTTGAAATGGTTGATGAGTCTAAGGTGTGTATACCTTCCTAGTGTTAACTGTTCCCCTTAGGGATCTGCCTCTTGTTTAACTGAAACTTCAGCCATGGGTGGGGGTGGGAGTTCAGTTCTAGACCTGGAGGGTGAATAAAGAACAGTCTCAGGGTTCCACCAGTAAGGTGGTTCTCGTGGATGATCTTGAGCTTTTGTTCACATTTTCTCCCACTCTATCCAAGGCCTTCTAATAGGATCCCTCTTAGAGCGGCTCCAGTTCTGTTCTCAGGGTCATGGAGATGGATGTTCACACGGTCCATTAGTCACTGGACTGATTGCTTCTGACATGGTAAATTCTAGTGACTGGTTTTCAGATATTGACTCAACCTTGCATTCTTGGGATAAACCCCACGTGTGCCAAATATATTATTATTTTTTATTGTTGGGTTTAATTTGCTAATGTTGTGTAAAAGATGTCTGTGTTGTGTTTGTGACGGCTGTAAGTCTGTGATTCTCTTTTCTCATAATGTCTCTGTCTGCTTTTGGTGTTAAGAGTAATGTTGACCTTTACACTTTCTAAAAGAGCTGGTAAAGAATGGGTGTCATTTCGTTCTTAACTGTTGCATAGAATTAACTGTGAAACCGTTTCAACTTGGAACTTTCTTTGTTGGAAGGAAGGTTTTTCGCTGAACTGATCTCTTTAATAAACAGCACTACTCCAGTTAGCCATTTCTTCTTGAATAAACTTTAGTAGCTTTTGGTTTTTAAGGAATTCATTGGCATAAGCTTGCTCATCGTATTCCCTTGCGCCCTTTTTAACATCAGCAGGGTCTTCAGTGATGCTCTCTCTTTCATTTTTCAGATTGGAATCTTCTCTCTTCTCAATCAGTCTCGCGATGCTCTGCTGCCTAATGGGACCACGATGACTGCTGAACAGAGGGTGGACTGGACAGGCGAAGGCAGAAGCAGGCCAGCTAGAGGCTACTGCAGCAACCCAGTGAAGAGGTGTCAGTGGCTTGGGCTAGGGACTTACCAGTGGAGGAAGAAAGAGGATATATTTTGGATATTCTGAATATTTATTAGAGGTAGAGTCAAGAAAATTTTATAAGAGATCAGAAATGGTATGGAAGCAAACAGAAGAGATGAGGATGATTCTAGGGTTTTGACGTGAGCACTGTTAGAACGGAAAGACAGTGAGGAATGTCGTGCCTAAGCTCTTGTTCAGCCAGCTGATTTTCGAATTATGCTTATTGGCTCTCTAAATGAAGACCGTGGCTAACTTAATTATCCGGATCTGGAGTTTAAGGGAGAGATATAGGCTAAAGACCCAGAATCGGAAGTCAGGAGAATGAATGAGAGAATACGGGAGTGAGGGTGGATGGGAAAGAGGGTTCTGGAGACAAAGACGTATATGGAAGTTAGAAAGATATCAAAGAACTTCAAAAAGAAGGGAGCGACCAGCTGAGAGAAGGCTGCCAGTAAGATGAGGACTGAGAGCTGACATCTAGATTTAGCAATGTGGACCATGGGGGTGGGGGAGGAGATCTTGGAGAGGCAATACTGACAAAGATCTCAAGAGTTGGCTGATACAGAGAAAAGAAGAAAAACTAGGGAAATTGGTGGAAGAGGAAGGTGGTGTTGTTAGGTGCCATCGAGTCAGTACTGACTCATAGCGACCCCTATGCACAACAGAACGAGACACTGCTCTGTCCTGGGCCAACCTCACAATTGTTGTCACGCCTGAGCTCACTGATGCTGCCACTTGGCCAATCCATCTCATTGGGGGGTCTTCCTCTTTTTCTCTGACCCTCCACCTTACCAAACATGATATACCTCTCCAGGGACTGGTCCCTCCTGACAGTATGTCTGAAGAGGAAGAAGACTTTTTAAATTATCTTAGCATAAGCTCTGGGGTCGTATCAGGGGGCCTGATGGCAGAACTAGACTCACGTGAGAGGAAGCAGAGGACACACACAACCTCACCTTGGAGGAAGGGCTGATGTCTCAACCTGTAGCTGGGCCACGTCAGTCCAGGCCACAGGGCCAACTTGCACTGAGGCACTGAGACAGTGCTATAACCCTCCTCGACCTCATTTTCTTTAGTGATACAGGTGATCACAGTGGGAGCGTACAGGGGGTTACGGGACCCTCCTGGCAACATTTGCTCACCTGGAGCCAGCTTGATCTCCAGCGCAGTCCGGATGAGAGCCATCAGCGTGGAGGTGAAGTGAACGGTCATGTCCTCGTTGGAGATGGGCATGTTCATGCGTACCAGGCGCTGGGAAAGAGCACAAGCAGGTCAGGGCTGGTCCTTTGGGGGTCCCCCTCCCTTCGGGATGGTGCATGGCCTCCTGGAGACCGGGCTGGATGGGAGTTTGGCCAGCTTTTGCATTCGCCTGCACGCCCCACTCTCATCCGTGCTGAACACCGCTCGGCTGCAGGAAGGTGGCGACCCAGGGTCTTGAGTGTGGGATAGGGCTATACCCTGGTCCCTCTGAAAGAGGCAGCACCTCTCCCTACTGGGACAGGGGAGTGGGTCCAAGCTGTGGGCACACAGTCAACCCCATCTCCTCAGCTTCCCAAGGCATCTGGACCAGGGTTGAGTGGTCGAGGGGTTGTGTCCTTCGAGGGTGACAAGCTGGCTGGGGCCTGGGGAGACTTGAAACCCCCTGAAGCGGCCCCAGCGGAGGCAGCTGTGGGAGGGGCTCAGAGGGTTTGGTCGCATGGGCCACCAGTTCTGGCTTCTTGGAGGACACACACACTCTGTCCCCATCTCCCCAGGGAGTGTCTGGAACATGCAGGTAGGAGGCAACGTGTGTGTGTGTATATGTGTGTGTGTGTGTGTGTGTGGAGTGGACACTCCTGTACCAGGAGGGGGAAGGAGCAGGAAAGCAGAGGGTAGAGGACTGTCAGGGGCTGGGTCCCTCCCCCAGCTTGCTGCTCCCAAGGCCTCCTAGGTTCTACTTGAGTCCCAAACCCAGCTCCATGGGAAGTTTCCCAGCTCTCCAGGGCCCTCGGGCAAGCAGGCACTGCACAGAGCATCCAGGAAGCAAGGGCTGGGAGGCACACGTGCAGACATTAGAGGCCTCTGCAGGAGGAGGGGCACACGGAAGAGCTACCCCCACCTCCAGGTGACAAAGCAGAAGCATAGGTCCCAGAGCAGTGGGCAGCAGAGGAACCAAACCGAGGCCAGACAGCGGGCGGCTCAGACACTAGCACGGGTTACTGAGTGGGGAAGGGTGGCAGCTGGTAGCAAGTTTGGGGCTTGGGCAACCTGCTCTGGGGCACAAGACCACCTGGGATACTCAGGAATGCAGCAGGAGAGGGGCCCTGGAGACAACCTCCCTGCCCACCCACCCCATGGGGCTCTGCAGGAACACCAGGGAGGCTGGAGGACAGTGGAGTTGGGTGTGGTCCTGAGCCCAGAACAAAAACAGGCCCATGTTGGCATAAACTGATAAAAAGTTGGTCTGGCCCTCACCTCCCAGGAGAGGAAGCTGGGTCAGGGAGGGAACATGTGTGTCGGGGATGGGCTTGGAACTGGGGAGGGAGCAGAGAGGGAGGAAGGGTACAGTGACCCAGGCAGGAGGGGGGGAGCCAGCACAGTGGGTGGGCCACGCGTGTCCGGGAGAAAAGCACCAGCACAGACAAGGGGTGCAGGGCCTACCTTATACGCCACGCGAGCGGGGCATTTCTTCCCCAGGCCCAGAGGTGGGGACATATGCTTCAGCATCTCAAACATGTCATTGTAACTGATGCGCCCACTGGAAACCCATCCCAGCGGCAAGGCACATGGGGGTCCATGGGAGAAGCCAGGAGGCAGGAGCAGGGAGGGAGAGGTGGGGCGGGGCGGATGGGTAGGGCAGACAAGAAAACAGATCCAGTTAGCCCAAGGTGTCAGGAGAAGTGTCAAAAATGAAAACTAAGGAAAATGAGGGATTTCTCTGTTCTCCTTTTTGGTCCCACCTCAGCGCCCTCTCCCCCGGCCCCCACCCACTCCTCCTGGAGTCTGGGAGAGACCCCGCGTCTCACCTCCAACTCAGCCCTCGCGGCACAGGGCGGCGGGTAGGGATGGTTGATGTCTAAGCTAATGAACATGGAAGGGATGAGGGAAGGCTGCACTGGGCCGGCTCGGGGTGTCAATTCGGCTTTTACTGATTTAGAGAGCACGGTAATGCCGGGTCCGAGCACAGATGCTTCACCATGCCAGGGAGCGTGGCAGACAGAGTTATGTGACAGGTGAGCTGGCTCAGAGGGCCAGAGAACTCAGTGTCTTGGATAGTCAAGTTTTGCTTCCGAATTAGGCTAGAGGCTACAAAAGTGAGAAAACTTCAAAGAAACGGGTGAAGTGCGGGGATCCCAAACAGGGTGGCAAGAGGGCCGGGCACACGGTCTGGAGACCAGTCTCATGCCCCCTTGACAGCTTGGGAACGAGATCAGGACCCCAGGGTGGGGCCCGGGAGACAGCGACTTTGTCTTCCCGAGTCACAGAGGCCATGGGCTGGGAATCTGTACCCTGTTTCCTTGCAGGGAAAGACATCACCCTCCTCTGCAGGTCTGGCTCTGGGCCTTGAGAGTGGGCCATTCAGAGGCAGGAGGGGCGCGCCCTGGGACCGGGAAGCCTCCAGGATCTTGGGGTTTGCTGTTTGGCTCGTGCCCAGTCTCCCACCTCTGGATCCGTCCCCAGCCTGGAAGACGTCGACCACCCTTGGACAAACTGCTTCCTCGGCACAGCGGGCCCGGCCCGGCTGGCCCAGAAAGCTCCCCAGTGCACTGTCTCATAAGGCTGCCTGGCCCCAGCCAGCTGGGGGTCGGGAGGTTAGAGGGGGACCAAAGCGTCAAGGAGATTGGAGTGCGAGGGGTGGGGCGGGAGGAGACAGAGGTGAGGTGTCAGTTCATTCCCAAACAAGGCAGGGCAGATGCCACAGGGAATGTGTGCTGTTTGCATTTCGGGAGGGAAGAGTATGTCGGATGGAGGCTCTGAAGTTGCAAACCTTGTAGGCCAACCTACGAGGGCAGTTCTTCCCTAAGCCAACGGGTGGCGCAATACAACGCAACAAACTGTACATATCCTTATAATGAATCCGGCAACTGGAAAGGAAATGTTAGAGGTTATGGTAACAGAGGAGCCATGGAGCCCCCCCACCCGACCACCCAGGTGCAATGGGAAATGTTGCTTTGCGTGTTGTGGAGGTGGGTGGGGGCTAAAAAGAGCTTCCTGCCGGGGGTTTGGGGCACCCAAAGCGACTTCTGGAGCCAGTGTAGGGCACGGGGCTCCCAGGATGGAGGACAGAAGTGTCCCTCTGTGGCCCCCATTCCTGAGCTATACCCAGCACACCATGCCCAGGGGGCTTCCACGCCCACCCTTCTATCCAGCCCTCTTCCACTCAATGCCTGCTGCCCAAGTACCACAGCGCCCCGGATTTCAACACAGGCACCCCTCAGTCCAGTCAGTCCCGAATCGTGGAAGCTCTACTTCAGAACAAGATCCAAACATCCAGATTCGTTGGAAGAGAGAGGAAACCCCACTCTGCCTCAAACCCAGGTCCCTGCTAAGCTTGTTGGACTGGAGGGGCCAGCACAGAGGACTGGGCACATGGTGAGGTCCACTCCCACGACTGCCACTGCCCAACTGAGAGCCTGTCACTGCCGCAGATGGAAAACATGGGCCTGACCCTAACACTCTGCCCATCCTCCCCATGGCGACAGCGCAGTCAAAGCTGCTGGTCAAGCCTGCTCTCAGCCTCTCTCTCCAGGCAGACAGGATTCCTGTGCTTCAGCCACACCTCTGTCCACGCCCCCGCCCTTCCCTGGAACTCAAGTCTGCTCAAGTTCCGCTCACATGTTACCCCTTCTGACTTGGCCCCAGACATGCCCAGGACCTGCTCAGCTGAGCCCTGGGAGGAGGCCCCAGTCTTCAGCACAGGGAGATGCTCACACATGTTTGTTCAATGGATGGGTGAACATCAAGGTGAGCAGCAAGTCAGCTCAAAGCAGGTGTGATTGCAATTCTAACTCTCTTCATGTCTTCACAAAGTGCTGAGACAAACAGAAAGGGGACCACTGGAGAGCAATAACACAGTGACTTTCCAGTCTCTCTCTACACACACAGAGCACATACAGAACAGGTGTGCATCCAAGCACACACGCACACACAGCACACACGTGCATGCATGCACACACACACAGGCACGCACGTAAATTCACGCACACAGACGCACACACACAAACATGAGCACATGCATACCTTCACGCACACATGCAGCACATATGTGCATTAATGCACCCAATACGGCACATGTGCATTCATGCACACAGGCACACGTGTGTACATTCATGCACACAAAGAACACGTGTGCATCCATGCCTACACACGTCAACACACACATGCATTTATGCACAAGGTACACACGGGCACATGCGTACACCATGCACACACAGAATACAGGTGTGCATGCATGCACAAAGATGCACACTGCATACATGCACAAAGCACACACGTGCATGCATGCACGAGGCACACATGGGCACAGATGTACAATCATGCACACACATAGCACATGTGTGCATTCATGCACACAAACATATACATACGCCCATACATGGGCATATACATGCACTCATGCACACACATGTGGGCACACATGTTCACTCACACACGTGTGCATTCACGCACATACAAGCACATCTACACATGGGTACACACATATATTTCACACACACACTCATACACACAGAGACACATGCACACACAGAAAGGCACATGCATACAGTCATGCACCCACAGATGGACAAATGCATACATTCATGTACATATATATACCCACACATGTGCATACCAGTGTGTCCATATGCACACACATGCACATTCATGTACACAGATATGCAGGCACACAGACACCCACAACTACACATGTGCACACAGCCATGCACATCCATGTTCTCACACACACACACATGTACAATTTCTCTCTCTCTCTGTGTATATATATATATATATATATATACCCATGTTCAAGCACATGTGCATAAACACATTCATGTACATATGTACACAACCCATACCTGTGCACATGCACACACAACCACATATATGTGCACATGTATGCTGTGTATACAAACATGTACACACATGCACTCATGCCTGCACACACACACACGTAAACAGTTCACCCATTGCACCCATACACAATGCACGTGTACATGAGTGCTTACAAACATGAAACAACAAGTTTTGTTGGTTTTTTAAATTTCTCCAAGTGGTCACCTGGAAAATAAAGATGACCAGATCTGACATGGGTTTGGCGTGCCCTCTGGTGGCCAGGGCATGAGGTCTAGCGTCAGACCTGCCCACTGCCTCTGCTGGACCCTGCACCTTGCTCCCATGTCAGGGAGCAGCCGGTAGTTCCCTGTTAGCAGCAGGCTGTCTGCAGCACCTCGTGGCGGTCTGTGGGACCTTGCACGCACCACTTCTTAGGCACAATTACCTTTTGCCATCTACTCTACAAATAAACACTTTCTATAGTGTATCCTCGCCGGCACACACCTTTTGTAGGGCCTTGTTCTAGACACTCCATCTGGGAAGCGATCCCAATGGCACTCGCCATCTCTCTGGAGACCACTCTCCTGGGAGGTTACCATCTGCCCCTGCCTCAGTCCAGACAACAGCTTACAAAACCCCTGGTTCTCAGCACCATCTCCTGAGGGCAAGGGTGCCCTATAGCAGCCACAACTTTCCGGGTCCATCAGGATGCTCCTCTGGGATTTCCCTGGGGCTTCTCCTGCCTTCTGGACAGGCCGAGGCCTGAGAGTGGCCAGTCTGCTCTTCCATATGACTCCCAGGTCTGAACTCCAAACAAGCACTGATGTTGCTGAGACATGGCCATGAGGCAAATGCAGCAGTAACGCTTGCTCTGCCATGGTGTAATGCCACAAACATTTTACTAAAATGGAAAACTCACACACAGAAACAGTGGGCCTAAAGGTCTGGATATGATGCTGCCAGCAGCTCTGGGACTTATCCAGCCTGAGAAAAGCCCCACCCAGTACCTCCTAGATCCTTACTGTGATGGGGTGGGGGGTGCTCCAAGGAGACTGCTGAGGGGGCGACCCATTGGGTCTTGGGGGTCAGGAAACCCTGGTCACTTGTGTGCTGAGCTTCAATTTAGCGGGAAAGAGAGGCAGAGGTACTGAAATTCAGTGTTGTCATCACAAGGGGGTGCTGATCGTCTCCTCCAGGACTCTTCGCTGACAAGGGTGACTAGACCCAGCCATGTGAGGTTACAGGCAGCCGGAGCTGGCCAACATCCACACCTGGTTGTGTGGTCTTCCCGCTGTCATAGAGGACAGAGTGATGGGCACCTATGTTCATGTACACCCGGTCACTTGCACACTGCGAATCCACGCTTTGGCTCTGTGCTCTCACTCAGCAGTGATGAATGATGCCCGGATGAGTGAGTGGGTAGAAGAATGAATGGATGGACGAACAGGGAATGAATGATCAATGATGCCCGGATGAGTGAGTGGGTAGATGGGTGACTGGACAGTGAATGAGTATGGAATGGAACGCCTGGATGAGTGAGAGAGTGGGAAGATGAAGGCGGGAAGGAGGGAAGGGACACTGAGCAGAAGGAAAGAGCCCACGCTGCTCACTCTCAGCTAGTGGACTCTAGCTTTGGGATGAACATGTGCAGCGACGGCAAGCCAGATCCTGCCTGGGAACAGCTCCACCTGCGACCCGACTCCCTGCTCCCAGTTACAGAGTCACCCTGTGCTCGCACCACGCAGCTTTGTGTGTTAGCCTTCCTGACCAATCATCTGGCTCAAATGACCTTTGCTAAGCACCTACATGTGTGTGGTCTTTGCTTGTGCCAGCAAAACAGGGCACTGGCTCGTCCCCAAAGGGGATCACAGAGAAAGGTTTACCAACCCCTCTGGCCTGAACTATTGGCCCACCCTGAAACTCCTGAGCCTCCCGAGGATGGTGGGGGCATGAAGAGATCTCCCACCATGCCCCCTGGTCCCTGACATGATGGAGCCTGTAAGAAGAGTCCCCAGACTCACAGACCCAGAAGTGGGGGCTTGGTGCTACGCTTCACAGTCCCCATGACTTCCTTGAGCTGAACATTAAAGGGCCGTTTCTTAGAGCTGGGATACTGGGAGGGCAACTGCTCCTGGGAGAGAGGACGCCAGCCCGGCCTACACAAACCCAGAGTCCTCCCTAGTTCTCTCCTGAGACCTGTGGGCCAGCCTAAGGAGCAGGCTTCATGGAGCACGGGGCAACTCACCAGGCAGCCGGGTCGTACTCAGCCCAGACCCGGATGAACTCGTCCAGGTGGTGAGGCCCTAGGATGGAAGAGTCCCGCGTAAGGTACTCAAAATTGTCCATGATCACAGCCACAAAGAGGTTCAACATCTGCAGGATGGGAAGCAGAAGAGGTGACTAGAGAGAGCCCAGCCTGCCCCCATGGAGTTTGGTGTGAGGGTGTCAGGAAACAAAGCCGGCCACTGCCAAGGGCCTGTGTACAGGACTGCTCCAGGTAGCCTTCACCTCCACACTCAGCACTACGAATTCTTCCTCGGAAAGCCCTGGTTCGGGCCTGAAAGCCACTGCTCACGGTCCACACTGCTGTGGTGGGTGATGATCCCCAGACTCTGAAGTTACCCTCTGTTCCCCATTAAGGCCAGCCTTCAGGGAAGGCGGCAGCATTGGGGCTAAGAACTTGGGCTCTAGAAGCTGGTAACTTAGGTTCTAACCTCACGTTAAGACAAGACGTGTCTGACCTCTCTAAGCCTGTTTTCTTCCTGTGGAGATCCTATCCATCTTGTCAGGTGGCTACAAGGGCCAGCCCAATGCTATAGCCAGGCTTCTGCAGGGGACTGCCTGGACATGGCCAGCAGGTGCTCTCCAACCAGGGGCACCCAGAGCTACTGTCCCGTTTCTATATTTGCTTATCCATCAGGCTCAGGTCACGGGAGGCCAGCAGGCTGTGCTTTCGGACACACCCTCCCAGGTTTCAGCTAGGGAAGTCAAGAGGGGGCCTGTGAGGACAAGATACAGAGGATGATGGGGAGGAGGGAAAGCTAAACCAGGGCTCCCTCCACATTTCCCAGCATGGAAGCCGGAGTGTGGTGAGGCTGGTGGTGGGCTCGACCTCACTGGGCACCTTTGGTCAGCAGGAGGCCTGCCCCAGTGTCCAACAGCATAGTGTCTCTCTAGGGTCTGCTCTTGTCACGAGGGTCTTCTGAGAGATCAGAAACCCTCTCCTTGGGTTCTGGCAGCTGAAAAAGTATAATCCATAGGTGTTTCTGTGTCTCGATCCAGCCACCCACATACCTGTCTTAGGGTACAGCTGTCCCCATGCCTGACCACCCACTCTGTCCTCCAGAGCTCACAGTCTACCAGCAGAAACCCCGTCTTCAACTTCCCTGAGTGTCTTCTGTTCCTTCATGTTCTACTCAACTGCGTGTGTGTAGGGGGGCTCCTTCCTCTAAAAAATGTCACCTGCTCCTTCATGATCACTTCCTCATGCGGGAAGTTTAAGGGCGGACTTGGTATTTCCGTCTCCACTTCCACTCCAGACCTCACAGCTTTTACTACCTGCATGGATGGGGCAATACCGCCAGTCCCTCAGCCCCTCGATCCCTCACCTGCAGTAGTCTCCTCCACCTGTTCCTATGATCACATGCTGAACTGGTCACCATCAAAGATGACACCACCCCAAAACCTCAACTGTAAATGTCCCCTCTCCGGCCTTATCGCTCCCTTTCTCTTAGACTCGTGTTCCAGAAATTCTTTTCCACAAGGACCTGAAATCCACCAATTCTGTCTACCTGCTCCTGGAGCTTCACATCTCTCTCTGGACCTTGCTTTGATTCATATCCACTGATACTTTCAAACTCTTACACAGACCCGAGAGCCCCGACTTTCTCTCCCTGCTTATATCTGCCAGGGGAGACCCCAGACTGGACAAGCCACTTCTCTACCACACTGTCAAGCAGACAAAGGGTTCCTCAGCACTGCCTGCATTGTAGGGTTGTCTCCTCTCATTGTTTTTGTTCTTTCTCATTATCTCTTGAACCCATGCTAATAACCTTCTGCTCCCACCATGCCAAGGAAACATCCTTTTGCAAAGGCAGCATCCACATTTCCATTGTGGATGTGTCCAAGGTGCAATTCTCTGTCATGATCGTATGTGACCTCCCAACAATATCTGGGCTGGGTTGTTTCCTCCCTGAGACTTTCTCCCCTTGGTCCTCAGGGCACTGCCCTCTCCTGGCTCCCCACTCATTTCACGACTGTTCCTTCTCAAGCCTGGCTGCACTGCATCCTGGGTTGAGTCTTTCCTGCTCTCTAAACATCGCAGGTGTATGTAGTGCACAGAATCACTTGCAAAGCTTGTTGGTTTCATTTTCCAAGCCCCACTCCCATAGGTGGTAACACAGGAAGTCGGGCTCAGGAAGCTGCATTTCTGGTGACTGCAGGTGATAGGGACGCTATGTGCCTCAGACCACACCTTCCATAACAGGGGCCTACAGGGTATCCTGAGCCTCCTAAAGCCACCAAACTGTGTCTGAGCTCCTCCCTCCTTCACCCAGCCTACTGTTCCACCGTCAGCCCATCTCGGGAGCTGGGCCTGCGTCCTCTCTCCTCACACCACCTCCTCTCAATCAGTCGTGCGGCTACACGTTCAAATGTGGCCTACCTTCCTCCTATCCTCTCTAGGTCACCTCACCCTGAATGTCCACTGGCTGACTCGTCAGCTCCTCTGCAGACAATCCACAGGGATTGAGGGCCAGGTGTGAAAACACCGAACAGGTCAAGCTACTCCAACTAGGCTCCAGGGTTTCTTGCTGGACATGGAGTAAAACCCAGTCTCTTAGGACCTGGCCCACCTCCCAGGCCTAGGTCCCCAGCTCATCAGTGACCCTGCTCCAGGCACTGGTGGGATGGGTGCTGGTACGACCTCATCTCCATGGTGAAAGTCTCTCTATTAGTTGGAAACAAGGGGACCATTACCACCCGGACACTTAATCCCTTTCCATGACAGCACCGCCCACAAGAGTTCTTAACCAAACAGTGCTTTTTAGAATTCATGACACTCTGATCTTTAGGACACAAGGGCCAGTGACGCAGACTCAGATTAAAGTGACATGGATTAAAACTGGGGTCAACAGGAGACAAGGGAGACCCAAGATGGTGGTGAAAGATGGGGGCATGCAGACACAGGAGATACAAGCACCGTGCCCAGGACTTACCAGAAAGGAACAAAGGAAGATGAAGGAGACGAAGTAAAAGTAGGCAAAGTCGCTTCCACACTCACTGGCATGGGCGTGCTCATCGCAGGCCCGGTTGCTTAGACAAGACAGCATGATCTCGTGCCAAGCCTCCCCCGTGGCGCTCCTGAGAAGAAACGCAGAGCTGCAGAGGGCCACAAAGCATGGTCCAGGGCCGATCTGAGCAGCAGGGCAGGTCTCCAGCACCACCCAGGGCCCCAACTAGCCAAGACAGGAAGTGATGGGAGACAAAGAGCTCAGCACCAGAAGAGTTTTCTAGGTGCAGGCCCCACGGAGATCCTGCACCATGTGCAAGGCCTGGTCATTGATGGCGTTTCTGGAACAGAATCCTCATTACTCACTCGCTCGCATACAAAACGCAGCAATGCCACCGGAGCTGTACAGACATTGTTGAGTGGGGATCTAAAATGTTGTGTAAATGAAATATTTAAAGTAAGAATCATATGATAGTATGTCTCTAACTTGACTGTTCATCGATAAAGCACTAATTATTAAAACCATTCACTCAACTGAAGTTCAGTACCAGAGCGCACACTGCTTTATGGGTATATAGCATCTCATCTGTCAGCTTGTTGTATGTACTGTGTGGCTTTCGTGTTGCTGTGAAGCTACCCCACCAGTATCGTGAATACCTCTGGTGGACAGGTTTCAATGAAACTTCTGGACTAAGACAGACTAGGAAAAAGGAGAATGCTTACCACTGAAAACACGGAACAGCAGCGGCCCACTGTCTGACAGAGTGCTGGAAGACAAAACCCTCAAACTGGAAAGCACTCAACATGACTGGGAAAGAGCTGTTAACCCTAACGGTGTGAATGGAACAAAGATTTCAGGGCCTTCACTGCTGATGGGGCACAACTCAAAACGAGGATAAATAGTTGCAAACATCCAATAATAATAAGGCTGTGAAATTTATGAAGCACGAACTAGAAAAAACAGAAGTCGTCAAAACAGGAAATGGGACTCATAAAGATAGACACCCTAAGCATTTGTTATTGTTGTTGTTACGTGCCATCGAGCTTCTGACTCATACTGACTCGGTATAGGGTTTCCAAGGGGCAGATGGTGGGTTTGAACTGCTGACCTTGTGGCTCAAACTGACCTTTTGGTCCAGTGCATTATCCTCCAGCACCACACCAGGGCTCCTAGGCATTCGTGAGCTGAAAGGGACTGGTATTGGCCATTATGAATCAGACAATCATATGATTTTCTATGCCACAAATGTCAAATTGAAGCAGAAGGGCATCACATTCACCATCAAAGAGAAAATTTCAAGTTTTATCTTGACAGATAATGCTCGCTGTGATCGGGTAATATCCATACACCTACAAGGAAGGTCAGTTAATAGCGCTATTAATAAAATGTATGCACCAACTACTAAAGCCAGTGATAATGAAATTGAAGAATTCTACCAACTTCTGCAATCTGAAATTGAACAAACATGCAATCAAAATGCATTGACAATTACTGGTGATTGGAATGCGAAAGTTGGAAACAAGGATCAGTAGCTGGAAAACAGAGTCTTGGTGACAGAACCAAAGCTGGAGATCACATGATAGAATTTTGCAAGACCAACAACTTATTCATTGCAAAAACCTTTCATAAAAAACACGAAAGGTGATTATACATGTGGACCTCACTAGATAAAATACACAGGGATCAAAATGACTGCGTCTGTGGGAAAAAGACAGTTGGAGAAATTCATCATAATCACTCAAAAAAAAAAAAAAAAGCCAGGGACTCACTGTGATCCATTGCTTACATGCAATTTCAGGCTGAAGCTAAAGAAATTTAAAACAAGTCCACCAGAATCAAAATATGACATTGAGTACATCCCCCCTGAATTTAAAGACCACTTCAAGAATAGATTTGATGCATTAGACACTGATGACCTAAAACCAGAAGAGTTATGGGAGGATAAGAAGAAAACAACAGGTCATTATAAAGACAGGAAAGAAAGAAAAGGTAAAAGTGTATGTCAGAAGAAACTCTGAAACTTGCTCTTGAGCTTCAGCAAAGCCAAAGTGACTGGAAGAAATGATAGAGTAAACGAGCTGAACACACAATTTCCAAGGTCAGCTCAAGAAGACAAAATCAAGTATTACAATGAAATGTGCCAAGACCTGGAGTCAGAAAACCAAAAGAGGGACATGCTCAGCATTTCTCAAGCTGAGAGAACTGAAGAAAAAAAAATCAAGCCTCGGTTGGCAATACTGACAGATTCTATGGGGTGGCACTGCTCTGCTAACCAAAGGTCGGTAGTTCAAATCCACCTCCTCGGAAACCCTACAAAGAGTTGCAATGAGTTGGAACCAACTTGACGAAACTCAGCAGCAACAAAGCATCAAAAGAAGATGGAAAGAATACAGAGTCACTGTACCAAAAAGAATTGGTCTATATTCAACCATGACAAGAGGCAGCATATAATCAAGAACCGATGGTAATGAAGGAAGAAATCCAAGGTGCACAGAAGGTTTTGGTGAAAAGCAAGGTTCCAGGAATTGATGGGGCACAAACTGAAACCTTTCAACAAACTGATGCAGCGCTGGAGGTATCACTTGTTTATGCCAGGAAATTTGGAAGACAGCTACCTCACTAACCAATTAGCAGAGATCCATACTTGTGCTCATTGCAAAGAAAAATGACCCAGTGGGATGTGGAAATCACTGAACAATAACATTCATATTACATGTAAGTTAAATTTTTCTGAAGAGAGTTAAAACTAGTTGCAGCAGTCCATCTACAGAGAACTACCAGAAACTCAAGCCGGACATGGAATGAGAGAGATCACTGCTGACGTCAGATGGGTGGGTCTTGGCTGAAAGCAAAGAATACCATAAAGGTATTTACTTGTGTTTTATTGACAGTGCAAAAGCATTCAACCATGTGGATCATAACAAACTATGGATAACGTTGTGAAGAATGGTTATTACAGAATATTTAATTGTGCTCATGAGGAACCTGTACATAGACCAAGAGGCAATCATTCAAACAGAACAAAGAAATACTGAATGGTTTTAAATCAGGAAAGATGTGCATCAGAGTTGTATCCCTTCACCAAAGTTATTCAATCTGTATGACAAACAAAAAGGAGCTCTGATAGCATAGTGGTTACGAATCGGGCTGGAATCGGAAGGTCAGCAGTTCAAAACTACCAGCTGTTCTGTGGGAGAAAGATGAGGCTTTCTGCTCCTGTAAAGATTTACAGCCTAGGAAACCCTGTGCAGGGTCACTATGAGTCGGAACCAACTTCACGGCACATAACAACAACATGCCAAACAAATAATCCAAGAAGCTGGACTATATGAAAAAGAATGTGACATCAAAATTGGAGGAAAATTCATTAACAGTCTGCAATATGCAGATGATACAACCTTGCTTGCTGGAAGCAAAACAGATTTGCGATACTTACTGATGAAGGGCAGAGACTACAGCCTTCAGTGTGAGCATCAGTATAAATAAAATAAAAATCCTCCCAACTGGACCAACAGAGAAACTGGATAAACAGAGAAAAGATTGCTTGGATCCACAATCAACACTCATGGAAGCAACAGTCAAGACATTAAATGACATATTGCATTGGGGAAATGCAAAAGACCTCTTTAAAATGTTAAAGCGTAAAGATGTCACTTTGAGGACTAAGGTTCTTCTGACCCAAGCCACAATATTTTCAATTGCCTCACATAGATGAGAAAATTGGACATTGAATAAGGCAGACCACAGAAGAATCGATGCATCTGAATTATGGTGCTGGAGAAGAATATTGAAAATACTCTAGATGGCTAGAAGAACAAACACATTTGTGCTGGAAGAAGTCCATTCAGATTGCTCCTTAGTAGCCAAGATGGTGAAACTTCATCTCTTATACTTCAGACATATTTTCAGGAGGGGTTAGTTCCTGGAGAAGGACATCATGCTAGGCAAAGTAAAGGGCCAGCCAAAAAGGAAGAAGACCCCAACAAGATGGAACAGCACAGTGGCACCAACATGGCTTCCAATGTAGCAACAATTGTGAGCATGACTCGGGACCAGGCAACGTTTGGTTCTGTTGTGTGTAGTTGGGTCGCTGAGTCGGAACCGACCCCGTGGCACCTAAGAACAGCAATAGCATCTCAACCCTAACAGACTCAGAAAGTAAACTCCTGATCTCCCAGAACTGCCAGAAACTTGTGTTCCATCCTGGTCTTCCCTATTTCAATAAATACTGACTATCCATCCAGCTGTAGGATCAGCACTGGGCTGCAAACCTCAAGGTCGGCAGTTCAAACCCATCAGCTGCTCCTTGGAAAGCCCATGGTGGTTGGTGGTTATGTGCCGTGGAGTCGGTTCCGACTCATAGCGACCCTGTCCGGGGTTTCTGAAGTTGTAAATCTTTACGGGAGCAGAAAGCCTCATCTTTCTCCCGCGGACCAGCTGGTAGTTTCGAACTGCTGACCTTGAGATTCCCTGCCCGATTCGTAATCACTACGCTAGAGGGACATTATGAGTTGGAACCGACCGGACAGCACTTAACAACAATAACAACAAAAATTCCTCCAGCTGCTCAGGCTAGAAACTTGGCCGCCAGCCTTGCCTTCTTTTTCCTCTCTCCACATTCTATCCATTCGCCATCAATTAACAGCCGACTTTTAGCTCGCTGTCTCCTGGTGTAACAACAATCACATTGTACCAGAATTGTTGGAACACTTTCCTAACTGATGCTCTTGCTTCTACCATTTTGAATCAGACAATCACATAGTTTATTGTGCTGGGAATGACAAATTGAAAAGGAATGGCATTGCATTCATCATCAAAAAGAACATATCAAGATCTGTCATGAAGAACAATGCTGCCTGTGATAGGATAATCCACATGCCTACATGGAAGACCAGTTAAGACCACTATTATTCAAATTTGTACACCAACCACAAAAGCCAGTGATGATGAAATTGAAGAATTCTATCAACTTCTTCAGTCTGAAATTGATCAAATATGCAATCAAGATGTACTGATAATTCCTGGTGATTGGAATGCAAAGAATGCAAAAAAAAAAAAAAAAAGAGGAAGGATCAGTTCTTGAAACGATGCTGGAGGTCACATGATGGAATTCTATAAGACCAATGACTTCTTCATTGCAATTACCTTTTTAAAAACAACATAAAAGACAACTATCGATCTCACCAGATGGAATACACAGAAGTCAAACTGACTACTTCTGTGGAAAGAGAAGGTGGAAAATCTCCAGATCATCAGCCAAAACAAGGCCAGGGACAGACCGTAACAGATTATCAATTGCAAGTTCAGGCTCAAGCTAAAGAAAATCAAAACAAGTCCACGAGAGCCAAAATAGGACCCTGAACATATCCCACACCTGAATTTAGAGATCATCTGAAGAACAAATTTGAAGCATTAGACACTAAAGACTGAAGACCAGAAGAGTTGTGGGATGACATCAAGAACATCATATAGGAACAAAGTAAAAGATCATTGAGAAGACAAGAAAGAAGGAAAAGGCCAAACTGGATGTCAGAAGAGACTCTGAAACTTGCTCTCTAGCATAGAGATGCTAAAGCAAATGGAAGAACTGAGGTGGTAAAGGAGATGAACACAGAATTTCAAAGGTCAACTCAAGAAGACATAGTTAAATACTACAGCAAAACGTGCAAAGACCTGGAGTTAGAAAACCAAAAGGGAAGAACATGCTCAGCATTTCTCAATCTGAGGGAACTGAAGAAAAAGTTCAAGCCTGGGGTTGTAATGTGAAGGATTCTACGAACAAAATGTTGAATGATGTAGAAAGCATTAAAAGAAGATGGAAAGAATACACAGAGTCACGGTAGCAAAAATATATGGTATATGTTCAACCATTTCAAGAGGTAGCATATGATCAAGAGCCAATGATACTGAAGGAAGAAGTCCAAGGTGCATTGAAAGCATTGGCAAAGAACAAGGTTCTGGGAATTGATGGAATATAAATTGAAATCTTCTAACAAACTGATATGGTACTAGAAGCACTCATTCATCTCTGCCAAGAAATTTGGAAAACAACTACCTGGCCAACTGAATGGAAGAGATTCATATCTGTGCCCATTCCAAAGAGAGATTACCCAACAGAATGCAGAAATCATCAGACATTATTAATATTGCATGCAAGTAAAATCTTGCTAAAGATAATACAAAATGGCTGCAACCAAACATTGATAGACAACTTCCAGAGGTTCAAGCTGGATTCAGAACAGGATGTGGAATAAGGGATATCATTGCTGACATCAGATGGCTGAAATGTTCTAATTTTGGTGAAAAGTTCTTTGTCTGATATATCGTTGCCAAACATTTTCCCCCAGTCAATGGGTTCTCTTTTTAGTTTTTTTGTAAAATCCTTTGATGCACATAGTGTTTAATTTTTAGAAGGTCCCAGTCATCATTTTGTCTTCTGTTTGTGTGTTTTCAGTTGTGCTTGATAGTGTATCAATGCCAAGTATCAGAGCTCCTAAGTTGGTCTACTTTTGCATGATCTGTATGGTGGTGGTTAGTTTTGACATTTAGGTCTTTAATCCACATTGAGTTCGTTTTTGTATCAGTGTGAGATATAGGTCATGTTTCATTTTTCTGAAAATGGATTTCCAATTTTGCCAGCACCATTTATTAAAGAGAATATCTCATCCCTATTTCATGCATTTTGGCCCTTTACGATGAACTGATCGTAGGTGGATGGATTTACTTTGGGTTCTCAATTCTGTTCCACTGATCTGTGTCGTTCGTTGTACCAGTACCAAGCTGTTTTGACTACAGTGGCTGGGTGGTATAGGTTGTGAGATCGGGAAGTGAGAAACCTCCTGCTTTTTTGTTATTTTTTAATAATGCTTTGCTTATCCATGGACTTTTTCCTTCCCATATAAAGTTAGTGAGTAGTTTTCCCATCTCTTTAAAGAACGATGTTGGAATCTGGATTGGGATAGCATATCTATAGATTGCTTTCGGTAGTGTTGACATTTTCACAATGCTAAGTGTTCCCATCCATGAGCATGGTATGTTCTTCCATTTCTGCAGGTCTCTTAGCTTCTTGTATTAGTGCTTTGTATTTTTCTTTTATAGGACTTTTGTTTCTCTGGTTAGATTTATTTCCAAGTATTTCATCTTTTGGGTAGCCACTGTAAATTGTATTGTTTTCTTGATTTCCTTTACAGAATTCTCTTTATTAATGTAAGGGAATCCAACTGATTTTTGTATGTTGTTGAGTCTATCGATGAGTTCCATTAATTTTCTTGTGAAGTGTTTGGGATTTTTTAAGTATAGGATCATATCGTCTGCAAATAGAGAGCTTTACTTCTTCTTTGCCAATTTGGATGCCTTTAATTTCCCTTTTATGCCTTGTAGCTCTGGCTAAGACTTCCAGCACAATATTGACTAGGAGTTGTGATAAAAGACAGCCTTGTCTGACTGCTGTTCCCAAGGGTAATGACCTAAGTTTCTCACTATTCAGAGTCATGTTGGCTGTTGGTTTGATATATATGTCTTTAATTATATGTTGAGGACTTTCCCTTGTATTCCTGTTTTGTTGAATTTCTTTTATCAGCAATGAGTGTTGGATTTTGTCAAATGTCTTTTCTGCCTCAATCGGTTGATCTAAGGTTGATCAGAAGGTATAGGAACTGGTACTGGCTATTAGAGGTGTGTGGAGCTGCTTAGGGTTAGGTTGTGGCTGGACTGTGGACACAAGTGCTGTCTCCTTCTGAGTTACTGGTGTGACTGCTCTACCAGGTCACCTTCTGTTGCCAGAGTTGCTCACAAAGGTTTAAGATGGTGGCTCCACATCTGGCCAGCTGTCCAACCAGTCTCCTCTCTCTCCATCCTTGCTCAGTTTCTCCTCCCAGCAAGCACTCAACCCAATCTCTAGCCTTTCTTCTGAAGTTCAGGGTTTCCAGATTTTCATCTGTATCTGTTTTACTTGGTTTCTCATATCTTTGATGTAGAGAGTCCATGTAGGAAGTCAGCCTAGTCTGCCATCTTGCTGGAAGTCCCCACCCAGGGATTTCTTATGGGTGGCTGATTTGGGCTAAAATAAGAGAGACCCAGGGGGCAGGGAGATGCACTCACTCACTCCCCTCAGTCCTCAAACTCGCTGGCAAGCCAAGCTGGCCTCCCAGCTCAGAATGAGGCCTGCACTTCCCAAGGTACTGCACTGAGCGATGCTGCTTCCCCTAACATGCAGCGGAGGCATAAGTTACATCAGCAGTCTCGGTACCTGGGTCCTTTGGGCCACTGAAGAGCTACCATCTGTCAGTAACTCGCCTCCTGTCCTGTCCTCACCGACACCTGCTACAACACGGTGACCAGACAGACGGCACCGCCTGTCCTCTCAGACTGTGGGCTCATCAGAGGTCTCTTTACTGTCACCAGGGACCAAGGCAAGACACTTGTCCAGGACTCCCAGCTCCCCTCCCTCAGGGCTGCCCTGCCATTTGTCTGAGGTCAGAAGTCATTAAGGAGTCCTTTGAGGAGGGTGAGCAGAGAGGGGAGAGGAGAAGACCGATTTACTGGAGGGAAAAGGGGTGGCCCCCATGTTGGCACCACCTTCTCCCTCCCGAAGGACGGAGCCCCTGAGCTGAGCACGGCATCTTGAACAATCTACCTGAACAACAGCATCAAGGCTTGTAGAAATGTCCGGAAGTTGTTGTGTCGGTTGATGCTTGTTTCATCATCTAGAGCAATGTTTCCAAAAACCTGGAATGGAAAGACAAGACAGAGTGTGTGCCGATGGCCTGGACCCCACAGATGCTCCCCAGCAGGCATGAATCCCCTCAGCGGACGTGCTGAAGTCCTACAGCTGAGTGTGGGTTATGTGTATGTGGAAGGGGACATCTTCACTTTCAGTCTGGTGAACTGAAAACTTCTGTGCAGCTGTCCCCATAGGCACACTCGAAGCAGGAAAAAATATTTGTTTTAAATAGCACCATATGGCAACAAGTTTTACAGCAAGAGAACTTTGTAACCCCTGAAATGCTGTCGAGTTCAGTTTTCACCCCCGAGGCAATGGCACTGCCCACTGGAAATGAGCCCCTGGATTCAGGGAAGGTCGACAGAGTGAGAGACAAAGGGATGGAGGCTCACCCGCTCACACCTGTCAGCACCCACCTGCATGCCGATGATGGCGTAGATGAAGAAGAGCATGGCAATGAGCAGACACACGTATGGCAGGGCCTGCGGACACACGGACACTCAAAGTCAGTGGGTCCAGGGAGCACTGGCCTCGCCCCCAGCCCCTCTTAAAGGCTGGCCCAGCTCCACCCCACCAGCCACCACCTCCTCACAAGGGATCACCGTTTCTGGGTCTTAAGGCACATTGGAGCTTTGGCAAGCATGGAAATGCATTGATCCATGGATGACAACTTAAATGCATTTATAAAATGCAGACCAGGAAGACAAATATCACCCTCCCAGCCCAGCAAGGAAGGCCCAGGACCTGATCCCACTACACTAGCCACCAGCCTTCCAGAGGATATGGGTCACCTTGAAGGACTGGACAAAGGTCCACAGCAGGATGCGGATAGTATAACCCTGCCGGAGCAGTTTGATGAGGCGAGCAGCACGGAAGAGGCGGAGGAAGCTGAGGTTGATGAAGTTGTTCTGTAGGAGGGGAGGAGACAATGCCTTCTGACCCTTGGAACTCAGTCACCTGGGCCCAGGCGACCTGCTCCCACTCCCACCCTCCCTGAGGCCCTGCAGAAAAATAGTGTAAAAAGTTACAAGAGAGTCACTGTTTCCCCTTCTAAGCAGCACCTTCCAGAGGTGAGCCTGTCAGCAAGTCTGGGCCGTGAGGGCCGACATCCCACTGCGAGGGGGGTCGGAGGTTGTCTGCAGCTTGACCTCTAGTCAAAAGCCTAGCTGTGTCCAGGTACTAGGCACCCCTGAAGGGTGACCACGGCCTTCCCTTCCTGACCCCTGGGCAGATCCAGGTACCTGCAGCTGTCTCTAAGACCTTAGCAGGTGCAAGTGTAACACACTGCTGCTCCGCTGCATCCCAGGCTGCCTTTGGTCAAGAGTTCATAAATAACTCGGCCCTGCCAGCCAGCCTCTGGGCTGCTGAGATTTCCACCCTGACCCCGAAATTACCGGGCACAGAACCCATGCTATGGGAGGGCTTTGGCGCCTGGCTCTGCTTCCTGAGACCAGAGTGGCCGAGCGGAGAGACATTCTACTGCTCGATTCAGTCCCCCACCAGAGAGAAAAGAGCACACAGATGTGGGTGGGCCAGCGTGGGGGCTCATGCGTGCAGCTAGCAGGTTCTCACATGGACGTCTGGGTGACCATGGGAAGTCAGCACAGGGCAGGCCAAATGTGTCCAGAGGGGAGCTCAGCTGAGTGTGGCTGTGTCTGCCAGCCCCAGCCTGTGAATGCTGGAAAAGACTGGTGGTGGATGGGCAGGCAGCGTGAGGTAAGGAGGATGGCCTAGCAGCCTGTCTGCATGGATGGGTTGAAGCAGAGAGGTTTTGCTCGAAGAAGGATGGGAAGCCTGATGCCCAGCCTCTGGAGGGACCTCTGCTTTGAAAGACATGTTCTGGAGGGGCCAGGGGTCAGTCCAGAGAGCACAGTCAGCCCCTGCCCCGTGTGTGGGTCACTACCATGGGCAAGGTTTCTCAAGGGAGAAGACCAAAAGGGCCTGAAGACGGCATGTCCCGGAATAGCAGCAGGGCAGCGAGCAGATGGCAGACGTGGCTGTGAGTGCACCATCATCTGGTCTCTGCCTTCCAGATACCCATGGGTTCTGCGGAACCACGTGACTGAGTCTGGAAGCTCTAGACCCTCAAGGGCTCATCACAGAACGTTCCTCTCACTCTGAGCCTCAGCTTCCTCTATAGGGTGACGACATCATTTCTGGTGTGAGGAAAAACGGAGGAAACAAGGACACATATACACATGCAGGCATGCACACATACACAGCCATGCATATACATATATATACAGTTACACTCATAGGCACGTTGTTGTTGTTAGGTGACATTGAGTCAGTTCTGACTCAGCAACCTTATGCACAGTGGAACATAACACGACCCGGCCCTGCAGCATCCATCCTCACAATCCTGGTTTTGTTTGAGGCCATAATTGTAACCACTGTGGTCAGCCCTGCTCATGGAGGGCTTCCCTGTGTCTCACTGACCTTCCACTTTACCAAGAATGATGTCTTTTTCCAGGGGCTGCTCTCTCCTGGTAACATGTCAAAAGTACACGGTATGAAGTCTGGCAGACCTTGCCTTTAAGAAGTATTCCAAGACACACTGGTTTATTCCTTTGGCAACCCAAGATACAGCCCATATTTTCCACAAAAACCATAATTCAATTGCATTGATTCTTCTCTGGTCTTTATTAATCACTGTCCAGCTTCCACATGCATGTGAGGTTATTGAAAACGCCAAGGCTTGGGCCAGGCGCACCTCAGACCTCAAAGGGACATTTTTGCTCTTTAACACTCGAAAGACCAGTTGGTTGCAGCAAATGTGACCGATGCGATTCCTGATTACTGTTTCCATCAGGGTTGATTGCGGATCCGAGTAAAATGAAATCCATGCCAACTTTGACCTTTTCTCCATTTACCATGATGCGAGGATTTTTGTTTACATCGAAGCACAATCCATACTGAAGGCTGTATGTCGTCTTTGATCTCCATCAGTAAGGGTTTCAGATCCTCTCACTTTCAGCAAGATTGTGACAACATGGGTGTATGTATGTATATATATGTATACGTAATATACACATACATGCAGACACAAACATATACATCTACACATATGCGGGTAAGTAAAAAAGTATTGCTACAAACTCATAGAAATCTTTATGAAATAAAAACCACTCAAATGTGAAGCTGCTGTTGGCCAACAACTCTTCCACGCAGGTCTCTACAGTTTTGAAGGCAGTGTCTCCATCTCTCTGACCCTTCCCCAAAGAAATCTGCACTCTTCTGTTTACACCACCTCAAACGGCAGTCTTGGCATCCTCAAGGGACTCAAAATGAATTTTCTTTTAAATATTCTTTTATATTTGGAACAAAAAGGAGTCTGAAGAGGCACTATTAGGGCTGTAAGGTGGATGGGGGCAGGTTTCCCATGCCGAATGAGCAGGTGCATGATGGGAAAGGTCACTAGTGCAGTGTCTCTGGCCTCCCTCTTATCAACAGTTAAAATTTTCTTAAACCTTCGTCATAACAAGGTCCTGTGATTGTCCTGGGTCCTTTGAGAAAATCTATCACGACTGTTGTTGTATTCCATTGAGTCAGTTCTAACTCATGTTGTTGTTAAGTGCCAACGAGTCAGTTCCGACCCATTGAGACCCTGTATAGGGTTTCTGAGGAGCAGCTGGTGAGTTTGAACTGCCAACTTTGCCGTTCAAATGGCTTTGCAGTCTAGTGCATTGACCCACAGCACCACACCAGGAATCCAGTTCTAACTCATAGCAACCGTGTATAGGGCTTCCGAGAACCACCAGTGGGTTTGAACTGCTGGCATTGCAGTTAGCAGTCCAATGCTTATCCTACAGTGCCACACCAGAGTACCTATCACAAAACACTCAGTCTTGAATTTAACTGGCCCAACAGATCCCCTCAGAAGCCTCTGTTTTGATTGGACTTTCAAATTTGAAGATGCCCTAACTATGAGGGTGAGCCAAACATGATCTGTGCCCAGGCTGTAGAATTTAGTCAACTTTTCAAAAAGACAAATACATTGTTTTTGACACAATTTCCTTGCTTTTTAATATACTTTGTTCATCTTTCAACAAGCCTTCATATTCCCTTATTGAAAAAAGTTTTAGCTTGAGCTGCAAGCCACAACTTCCTCATCAGAGGTGAATCTTCATCCTAGGAGGACTGCTATCAGGGGACCACACAGGTAAAAGCCCAATGGACCAAGAGCAGGACTACAGGGAGGATGCTTTCACACCTCAAAATGAAGTTTTTGCAGAGTGTCAACTGTGTGGGCAGAGGTGTGTGGACGTGCATTGTCCTGCATTTAATCCAAAGTCTAGGCATCAGCTCTTCAGTGACCATCTCACTGTAACAAGCACTGTTGATTGCTGGACCTTTACCAGACAGTGTTCCAATACTGCCCCTTCAGAGTTCCAGAAACTGTAAGCATCAATTTTCCAGCTGATGGTTGATTTTTTAAAAGTTTTTATTGTGAATTGAGTAATCATTTATATAGGAGAACATCAGTTTTACACCCAACCTATAGCACTTTGTTTCAGTGCAATGGTTACAATCCCTCCACGCGCCATCGGTTAACAGTATTTGCCTCCATTCTCTCTTTTTTTGATGGACACAGAAACACGCAGGAATACATAAGTGTTTAAACTGCCAACGGGCACATTCTGCAAGCCTGCCAGCACACAGCTTCTTTCTATGGGTCTAGAGTCCTCAGCTGCTCTCTCTCTCCAAGCCATCACCTCTGCCTCCATCTCTGGTGTCACTGCCTCTCTGGTGAGGATCCCAGGCTCCGCTCATGCTCTTCTCTCTTGATAGACCAGAGTCCTCTGCTCCTGGAATATAAGATTAACTACTGCTCCCTTTTTGTTACCAAATTTCTACCTTTATAGTTGTGACAATTACAATTAGTCATGACAACACTCACTATTGAATCAAAAGAATCTTATCCCCATTTCCTTTCACCAGACCCATCTAGACAAGATGAAAACTATTTAGTGGGGATTTTACCCTCCCCCACTCACTCTAAAACTAAACTCCCTCTTGAAAACGTGTAAGCCGGCCATTTCATGCCTTTATAGGCCTCCTGCCCTCCAATTTTAAGTAGCCAGTGTCTAAGTTGCCCGTCCCTATCAACCCTGTGTACTAAGGGGATAGGCTTGATCCTTGATGTGAAGACTGCTTCCCTCTCGGTTGGTATTTTGAGCTACTACATCCATACATTTATCAAATTGCAACAGGCTACACTTGCTTCCTGTATCACACTAATTTCTCTTCCTCTAGTTAGGTTCTGATCATCGAGCCAGCCAAGCTAGGTCAAATGGGTACTATCTACAAGTTTAGGGTTTCTTGCACGCCTCCCCTACTTCATATCAGCTGGATGCTTCACTCTCAGCTCTAGCCCACCATGGCTAGCTAGGTCAGTGTTGATGGCTGAATTTTTTCATGGTCAGTGATTGCAGATGTCTCCATGCCATATTCTGCCGTTTATTCTCAGGCTTGTGTGAGGAATCCATGTCTCGTCACAAATAAATATTTTTTAAAGTTGCTTTTATCTTTCTTTGAGTGTCAGTCCAGATTTTTTGGCAGATGTCCAAATGCCTCTGTGTATGATCTTCTGCGGGTTGTTTTGGTTGCCATCTCACACAAACTTTTAAAAAACACAACTCTGTCATGGATGATTTCACAGGCAGAGCCATGGCTGATCTGCTACAAAATCCAGTCACTCGACATGCCCGCTCAGTGTTGTCATCAGCTGTGCACGAGGACAGGAGTTTTAATATAACTGGAGTTTGGATCATTTTTTTGACTCTCTTGTAGATCAAGACAAGCATTACTGGAAGAACTTGTCTGTGTTGTTGTTGTTGTTGAGTGCTATCGAGTCAGTTCCAACTCATAGTGACCTTGTATAGGGTTTCCAAGGGGCGGCTGGTGAGTTTGAACCACCGACCTTGTGGTACATGGTTTGTTCCATAGCACCACACCAGGACCCCTCTGCCATCACTAATCCCAGAGATGAGGCTCAACACGTTTTATTTGGAATAAACTCAGGCATGTGTGAACTGGAACCCTAATAGCAATACTTTTGACTGACCTCTGTATATGCACATATCCATATATACACATGCACACATACAAACATGCATACACACATATACAGGTCCAGACGGACACAGAAACACACATACAATGTATGAGGTGGTGAGGTATGCAATGAAGAAAGGGCAGGGGTAGGAGTGACAGCAGGGACAGATGGGGACAGGTTAGGGTCAGGGTTAGGGGTGACAGCAGGGACAGATGGGAACAGGTTAGGGTCAGGGATTAGGGGTAGGGTTAGGAGTGACAGCAGGGACAGATGGGGACAGGTTAGGGTCAGGGGTTAGGGGTAGGAGTGACAGCAGGGACAGATGGGGACAGGTTAGGGTCAGGGGTTAAGGTTAGGGTTAGGGTCAGGGGTAGGAGTGACAGCAGGGATAGATGGGGACAGGTCTGGTCAACAGCACCTGAGCACACACCTGACTGAGGAGAGTTGGAAGCCACACAGAAGATGTCGTTTGGACATTTCAGTGCCATCAAGCGACATTTTCTTGAAACTCAAAATTTTCGACTCAGGTGTAAGACCCTGTATCACGAATCATCCAGTTTCTGTAACAGGAATCTGCTCTCTACTGCTTTCTATGGATTTCCGGTCCTAGCTGATCTACTAGTAAGCACCTCTGCTCTCCTGTCCACACTGCCAAGGAGCTGGGAGGGGCCGCCATGGCAGCCCACTGCCCACAGGTATGTGCTGCTGCCAGTGAGGAGGTGAAGAGCCCTTGCAGGTAGAACCCACCGCAGTCTCCTCTGTCTGGCTCCTCTGAGGTCACGCTCACAGGAACCACGTCCCAAACACTGCAGTAGCTGCCAGCCCTCCTGGCCTATGCCAGGCCTAACCCTAAGGAAGGAGCTTTCTCCTGGGTGACAAAGCCGGGGGAGAGAATGGGGCAGCAGGGACTATAGGCTCTCAATCAGACCCAAACCCACGACCTGTCCAGTCCTCCCACTTCTGAACCAGTCCCCTGGGGTTTGCACCCTCCCCGGCCAGTCCCCTGGATCAAACCGTCCCAGGAGCAGGGAGGAGGCAGAAGGGGTCATAGGAATGACAGCCACGCCCTGGGAGCGGGAGGCCTGGGACGAGAGCAGGAGGAGCAAAGCAGAGCAGGCAGAGCAAAGGGTTGTAGGGACCATGTAAAGTCATGAAACCAACCGTTTCCTATAAGTGATGTTTTCATGGATGGATATTTGCATATTAGTTACAGATTAGGGTGGTTTGAGCAGCAGGTGCGCAACATACAGACGGAGACATGGGTTTTCACATTGTATGTTGTTTGGATGGCGTGAGTCAGCAGGTAGGTGAAGGTAAATCAAGAACAAAAACAGAAAACAAAAGAGAAATGAGTCATCGAGACAAGCAAAAACGTCACTGGAAAATTTCAGGATTTTTGTCAACTTTGCATACTTTCCTTAAAATGCACCAAATCAAAACATATTTCTGAAGCCCACAGGTTATCGAGCAGCAGCATTTGCATTTCTGTTTGTAATGCAAATCTAGAGATGACACACAGACGCTTGTTTTTTATTTCCAGGCAAAGAAGTCGGTGTCAGTTTTAAGGTTGCTGGGCCCTCTTCCGGGCGCCCTTGCTAGGACTCGCAAACGGTTTTGAGTTTTAAGTTGGGGATGAGAACCGACACTCCAATTTTTTGCCCAAGATAAAAAAAAAGTGCATTCACAAAGTAAACATGAGGTGACTCCAGATGAAAACCCCACACATCCACAAGATGACTTTTCTTTCATCTTTTCTCCCCCAGATGTGAGGTTTGAGCTCAAAGCGACGGTGGTGGGACAGAGCTGGGCTTCTACCGGGATGTGGGCATCAAGGACTATGGCATTCCTTCAGACTGCTTGCTGGAAGCAGGGCCTGAAATGACCACAGGCAACTCAGGAGCGGCTATGTGGGACTCTGGGAGGGAGGCTTCCTTGGAGGCAGTGGAGTACGCATGTGCTCTGTACCCAAAGAGCCTGGCTTCATGTCCTCTCAACAGCAGGGTAACCCCAAAGCTGTGTGCTCGCATTGCTTACCCAGGGGGATAAGATTCCTGTCCCCAAGGAGGAGCCCTGTGGGACTCAGAAACTCAGCCCACCTATTCCTCTCAGAAACTACACTGGGACCTTCCACACTGGGGGAGACAGAACCACAGACAAGGGGCAGTGCCTCGGGCGTGGCACTGTGTCCCAGCTGCTTCCAACCACCTCCGTTTTGTGACGTGGCAGGTTCTGGCTTTTCACCTGGGTAATTCAGATCACTAAGTTTTAAAAACTATTAAATAAACCATACAAATAAAAATGTGTGCATGTGTATATATACATATATGTGTGTGTGTGTGTATGTTTGCACATATATAAGGGGGCTTCAAAAAGTTTGTTGAAAACTGGAATTAGGAGATAATGGAATTTTTCTACAAATTTTAAGCCCCTCTCATATACACATATGTCGTCTAATGAGAAATAATACAACATATTTATCAAGCAGTGAACCAATAAACAATGCCCATATCAATGGAGAAAAGACTGAAGTTGTCAAAAGACCTCATTTTGCTCATCAACACTCATGGAAGCTGCAGTGAAGAAATCAAACAACATATTTCATTAGGCAAATCTACTGCACAAACCTCTCTAAAGTGTTGAAGAGCAAAGATGTTCAGTTTGAGGACTAAGGCATGCCTGACCCAAGCCATGGTATTTTCAACAGACTCGTGTGCATGCGAAAGCTGGACAGTGAAAAAGGAAGACTGTAGAAGAACTGATGCATTTGAGTTATGGTGTTGGAGGAGAATATTGAAAGTGCCATGGCTGCCAAAAGAACCAACAGATGCGTTTTGGAAAAAGTACAACCAGAGTGCTCCTGGGAAGCCAGGATGGTCAAACTTCGTCTCTCATACTTTGGACATATTGTCAGGAGGGACCAGTTGCTGGAGAAGGATATCATGTTTGGTAAGGTGGAGGGTCAGAGAAAACGAGGAAGACCTCTGCGAGATGGTTTGGCCAAGTGGTAGTAGCATCAATGGGCTCAAGCGTGGCAACAATTGTGAGGTTGGCCCAGGATCAGGCAGTGGTTTGTTCTGTTGTGTATAGGGTCACTATGAGTCGGTACTGACTCAATGGCACCTAACAACAACAACAACCTTTATCACGAGAGCACACCATTTGTGACCCTCAAGGACTTTTGTCTGTTCCTAATGGCGCTGTGGGCTAATGCGTCAGACAGTAAAGTCCTTTGAACTGCAAGGTCGGTGCGGTGGTTCAAGCTCCCCAGCTGCTCCTTCGAAACCCTTTACAGGGTCGCTATGGGGTCGGAATCAACTCGACGGCACTTCACAACAACAACAACCTTTATCACAAGAGCACATGTGACCTTCTAGGACTTGATGTTTTGAGCGATGATTTTGAGAAACGTGCACATGGACGTGGTATGACTGCTCCGTGGGCACAGCTGATGGCCATGCACCCTGTTGTGATGGGTACTGGGACGCTTCCAGCTTTCCCTCTTATGGACATCTGCGTCAGCATGACCAGGCTCATTGGTGCGAGGCATCCTCTAACAACTATACCCAGGAGAAGGCACACGTCCGACTTCCAGGTGATGCCAAACTTCCCCATCAGTAGTATGGGAGAGTCCAAGTGGTTTCACATTCTCAACAACACTTGGTATTGCTAAGGTTTCTAAGATATGACAAACGGGCACATGTGAAATGGTATCTTGCTACTGTTTCAGTTTGTAATTTGTTCGCCGTTTGTGATAAACCAACGTCTCTATGAAATTGGCACTCCTTATCAATTAACAGGATCTAGTTATGTCTTCTTTAATATCTCTCAATAAAACTCGGGAGTTTTCTACATAAAGACCTTATACACATATTTGATTGGCAGGATTGCTGATGTTGAGCAGCAATCTTGCTAAATACTAATTAGTTTTAGATTATTCTGGTAGTGTAATGGTTACGAGTCGGGCTACTAACCCCACGGTCAGCAGTTTGAAACTTCCAGCTGTTCCGCGAGAGAAAGATGAGGCTTTCTGCTCCCGTAAAGATTTACAGCCTCGGAAACCCTGTACAGGGTCCCTATGAGTCGGAACCGACTCCACGGCCCATAACCACCACCACCACCACCACCACCAGGTTTCATCTATAAATAAAAATGCTATCTGTGCATGATAAGAATTTTCTCATTCCTTTTTCAATCCTTACGTATTTTACTTTTTCTTACTCATTCAACAAGCATTTGCTAGGTGCTTGCAAAGCAGGGAGATGGCGGTGAGCCCAGACGAAAGCCCCCTGCCCTCCTTGCGCTGACACGCGGCCATCTGCACTGACCAGGAGCTCAGATTCAGTACTGGATAGCAGGGAAAGCAGCGCCCACTGCCCTTTCGGACTTGATGGGAATTCTTTTCAAGACTGTTATCTCGTGTTTACATGGGGTTTCTGAAGACACTCTTTATCAAGTGTCTATTTCCCAGATTGCTGACAGTTTTCATCAGGAAAACACTGTGCATTCACTGAGATGACCATGTTGTGAGTCTGCTTCAGTCTGTTCACCTGAATTATAGGAAGACATTTTCTGGCGCTGAAGTCAGATAAACGCCACTGTGTGACCGCTGCTTGTGCACTATAGGCTCTGACTTCTTTGCATTGCCATTCACAACCTTCCTTTTTTATATTATCCTTTTGCTAATTCTGGTGTCAAGGTGATAGTGACCTCATAAACTCAGTTAGGACAGAACAAAAGCATGACCTGGTTACCTGGTGACACGGTGGCTGCAACAATGACTCACACACAACCAGACAGTGTGACATCCTGTTCATTGGGGGGTCGGGTGGGGGCTGTGAGTCAGAACTCCCAAAGCTCAGCAGCAATGCAGTCACCAGGCTGGCCAGGTACTAGGTCAGGGTTAGGCCAGGCAGAGCTGCCGCCACGGGGAGGAGTCTGTCGGGAAACCTGATGTCACTGGGACATTTCTGGTTTCCCCCAACCAGTCTCAACTAGAGGAAGCCTGACAAGGAGGGGCCTGGACACACGAGGATGAAGGCTCATCTCACCAGAGGGCAGCCAGAATAGCAGAAGGGTGTCGAGCATCAGCTAGGTACAGCCTTGAACTGCCAACCTGCTCTGGCAGCTTTTCTGAAAGACCCTCCCAGCGAGGTGGCGTTAGCTGGGTGGGCCTCCGGGTGGTACAGCAGCACCTGTTGTTCTCCCAGGCCCCCCAAGCACAACCCAGGACAGAGGGTCAATGGGAGAGAGGAGGGCTGAGCTGGCCCTGAGCCTGTGGCCTCACTCGTTTGTAGCATTCCGAGGAACCAACTTCTACACGAACCCTTAGCTCCAGATCTGTATTTAGATTCCACTGAAGCCCAAAAGCGTAAGGGTCTTCAAGACTCAGGTTCTGGGAACTTTGTCGGCACTAGCTTACACCCTAGATGTGGGCTGTTCTCAGAACAAATCCACCAAGTTATGGAAGCAAGGACTCTCTGGTTGTTGGGACTGTGTGTTTTATTTATGTGTCTATTAAATAAACTTGCTCTTAGGTGCCATCAGGTTGGTACTGACTCACAGCGATCCCATGTACAACAGAATTTAAGAAACTTGCTACTGAATAATTTTCTAATTTTTTCTGGTTTTCATATACATGCTCTTTATGATACTTGTATACTCATCTTGTTGTTGTTGTTAAGTGCTGTCGAGTCGGTTCCGACCCATAGCGACCCTGTACAGGGTTTCCGAGGCTGTAAATCTTTACGGGAGCAGAAAGCCTCATCTTTCTCCCGTGGAGCGGCTGGTAGTTTCGAACTGCTGACCTTGTGGTTCGCAGCCCGATTCGTAACCACTACGCTACCAGAGCTCCTTACTCATCTTAGACACATTTAAAGCTGGCTGAGATCCACATGGTTCTATTTCCCAACCTGCCCGACCATCTGAGAAACACATTCTTATCCAAGCACAGATGTGACACAACTCCTCTTCCCCCGACTCAGCCTCTGGGGAGGAGAGCCATCTGTCTGAGGGCTCCCTGGACCCTCACTCTGGAAAGGAGGTGGGAAATCCCATTGCGCTTGGGACTAATGAGGGAGCACCCTCAAGAAGGCAAACACTTTGGGACACTGGACGGAGGGCAGAAAACCCAACTTACCGCAATCTCTGTTACTAAAATATCAGTAATACTTCCCAACACCGTGACAAAGTCAAAGACGTTCCAGGCATCTCTGAAATAGTTCTAGAAAGAAAGCAGGGTGGTTAGTCTGGTGTGGGTGAGTGGGCTGTATGAGAGACAGGTGGAGGGCCCTGCTAAGAACAGGGAGTGGGGGTCAGACTCAGTGTTGCCAGAAGGTCTCCCCGATGGGAGCACGCAGCCTAGAGTCATCACAGAACCTGGGTGGGTGCAGAACCAAGAGCCACAGGGTCCAGAGAGATGGGCCGGGGGCACAGACCGTGAGCAGCCTCTTCCCTGGGTCCCTGAGTGTCATGGGGCTCTGGGGCTCGGCAACTTCATGGAGGAATTGGAAGCCACGTACCAGCACGCCGAAGGCGATGATCTTCAGCACGCACTCCATGGAGAACATGGACGTAAACACAATGTTCAGGCACTTCAGCATCAGCTCGTATTCGTAGGGCGCAGCATAAAACTGCCAGGGAAGAGCTGTTGGCTGTGGGCTCAGCCGTCCAGGACACCCCACCTGGGACCACTGCCTACCAGACTAGAGATGCCCACCGGCTCCCTCCTCTGCTCTCCTGGAACCTTCTCACTCTTCCAACCCACAGACATCTAAGAGAGGGCCTGCGTTCCCGAGGCTGACTCTGCCTGACTGATGCCCATCTGGGGACCCCGCTGTCCGCCGGCCGGCCCACACCTTCATCATCAGGACGGCAGTATTGAGGGCAATCATGGCCATGATGAAGTATTCGAAGGGCGGGGACACCACGAACGTCCACGTCTTGTACTGGAAGGACTGCTTGCTCTGGGGCATGTACCGGGTCAGGGGCTTGGCGCTGATGGCGAAATCAATGCAGGCCCTCTGCACAGAGGGAAGGAAGGGGCTTTAAGTCAGGACCCCAGGGTGGCTGGGCATGGTTGTTCCCTGGGGAGAAGGGGTCCTTGCCCCATGCTGGTGGCAGGTGGGCAGAACGGACCTGATGAGAGGGGCTCATGCACATAAGGAACGCTCAGTGGCCCCTCCCTCAGTGGCAGGAGGGGTGTGTACCTCGTTCTTCTCCAGGCTGCACTCAGACATCACCTTGTCCCCCTGCTCCTGGAAGGTGATGATGATCAAAGCCACAAAGATGTTGACAAAGAAGAAGGGAAAGACCACGAAGTAGACCACGTAGAAGATGGAGAGCTCCATGCGGTACCCAGGGCTCGGGCCCTGTTCCTCATAGGTGGCGTCCACAGAGTGCTTTAGCACCCTGGAGGGAGCAGAGAACCAAACATTAGACACCACAGAGGCCACACTTCTGGGCCTGAGCAGGGATGCTGGGAGGCAGGGACTCTTCTGGGGGTTGGCTAGAGCTTTCTTATGGGGCTCATCCTCAGGGCAGCTGGGGGTTCCCCAAGGAGGCTAGACTTGGGGTCCTAAGGTAGTAACCCCAGAAGAGAAAGACTGAAGAGGCCTGGCAGTTCAGTCCTGCACTGGTCAACCCAGCTCACCTGCTCAGCCAACTCACCTGTACACACCCAGCTCACCTGTACACATCCAACTCACCTGTACATACCCAGCTCACCTGTACACACCCAGCTCACCTGCACACCCAGCTCACCTCACCTGTACACACCCAGCTCACTTGTACACACCCAGCTCACCTGTACACACTCAGCTCACCTGTACACACCCAGCTCACCTCACCTGTACACAACCAGCTCACCTCACCTGTACACACCCAGCTCACTTGTACACACCCAGCTCACCTGTACACACTCAGCTCACCTCACCTATACACATCCAGCTCACCTGCTCAGCCTAGGTCATCCACTATACCCAGCTCACCTGTACACACCTGGTTAATTTGCTCACAAGCAGTTCACCTGCTCAGCCTGCTCACCTGCCTCCACAGCAAGACTTGGGCCAGAAGGCTCTTCTAAACTAAGACCTCTTGCCGATGTAGCTTCTAAAGGTGAAGCTCCCAAGCTCAGCGCCTCTATCCAGTGGGGCAACGACCCACCAACCCCTCAAGGCTGTCCTCAGTGGAGGTCAGTGTGCTAACACAGGGAGACATGGAAGCATCTACCCTCCCTCTGGCCTCCAGCTAGCACCAGAAGGGTGTTGGGGAGGCCAGTCTGCTTTCCTTTCTGGTGTAATCTTCTGTTCTGCCCAGGCTGACAACTCTTGGAGGGCAGGAACAGGTCTCAGTGGGTTCTGCAACTAGTGCCTAGGGTTAATTGACTGAGTGGTGGAGAAAACAAATCCATGCAGAGCCCAGGCCCCTGCTACAGTCATCCCCTGGGTCTACCAGCGAGTACTAGTCAGACGTCACGCACATGGGCCACCCTTCTCCCGTGGACACAGTGAACAGTGTCAGCAGAGCCCAGAGCACGTTGTCGTAGTGGAAATCGTATTTCTTCCACTGCCGTGGCTGAGCCTCCACTTCTTCCTTTTCATAATCCAAATACTGACCTCTGGGAGTGAAAACACACACACACAGGGTTAAAGGTTAGACACAAAGGGTCGAAATCAGCCCATGCTGAAAGGTCAGTTCGTTTCCAATAGGGTGCCGAGAGTGGGGAAAGAAGAGTCTTTCCAACAAACAGTTCCGGGACAACTGCATCTTCACATGCAAGAGGGACGTCGGACCCCCACCTCACACCACATGCAAAATTACCCCAACATGGATTGAAGATCAACAAGTAAGAGCTAAAAATATAAAACTCTTTGAAAAAAATTTAAGGGTGAATTTTCTTGGCCTTGGATTTATTAATAGATTCTTAGATACCACATGACAAGCAACAATATAAAAACCAGATTAATGGGAGCTCATCAAAAATGAACAGATAAACCAAAGAATGGGAGAATATATCTGCAAATCCTATGCCTTAACAGGGTTTAATGCTCAGCAGAGGTCAGCAGGACCTACCACCACCAAGACAGAAGAGCCGAGAATGGAGTACAAACTTTGGACCTGCGGTCCCTGAACTGTGAAGCTCCTAGATGCAGAGAAAGACTGATGCCAAGGCTTGCCAGGCCTACAATGCTGAGAGGACGTCAGGACCTGTCCCCAGGCCTTACAGAAACAGAGCCTACCTCTTGAGCCAGCATTCTGAATCTGGACTTCTAGCCTCCTAAGCTGCAAGAGGAGACATTTCTTTTAAAGCCATCCACTATGCTGTCTCTATTACAGCAGTACTAGATAAGACACCTAGAATACATCGACACCTATTACAATCGCCCAACTCAGTACAATCAGTAACAAAGTGGATAAAGAATCGGAATAAACGTTTCTCCACAGAAGAGCCACTCCACATAGGGCCAGCAGACCATGGAGAAACGGTGAGACACCAGCCAAGATGCGCTGCCATCCCTGTGAGCACATGGGCAGTTCCACAAACCATTAAAACTAGAGGCAGCGGTGCTGCTGCTGTGATTGTGTACAGTCAAGTTGGTTCTGACTCCCAGTGACCCTGGATAGGGTTTCCAAGGAGCGGCTGGTAAGTTTGAACCTCTGACCTTGCGGTTCAAACCAACTTCCAGGTCCAGTGCATTATCCTACAGCACCATGGCCCAGTAATTCCACTCCTAGCTATGAGGGGCTTCAAAAACTTAATTAGAAGACAATGGATTCTTCTCCATGAACTTTTTGAAGCCCCCCTGTATATGCCCAGAAGTAATGAATGAAGCCTTATAGACATAAAACTTATACATGATTATTCATGGTGGCATTAGTAATAATAGTCAAAATGAAAGAAATGTGTCACAAAAGGTTACATACTGCATGATCCCATTTGTACAAAATATCTAGAGTGGGCAGATCAGCGCCCCGTGCTGTCCCCCAGACACATGCCTGTGTGCTCACCAACACACATGTGCTAGAATGTTCGAGCAGCACTTCTCAGGAGAGCCCCAAACTGGGAAGTAGCACATGCCCTCGATAGCAGAGTGGACAAGTAAGCTGTGGCGTGCTCAGAGGACAGAGCTCCACAACCACACAGTGGAGCCCCTGCTTCTCTGACCCGTCCCAGCTCTTTCCTGAGGGCAGGCCAGCACCGGAGGTCCAACGGGGCAGCACCTCTGACACATGGGTCCATCCCTCCAGCAGCAGCACCCAGAGCCCTGGCCCTGGCTCCGTGTACCTGCAGTCCCTCTCCAGCTCCTTGGACTCGTCGGTGCAGTAGAAGAACTTGCCCTTGAAGAGTTGCACAGCGATCACAGCAAAGATGAACATGAAGAGCATGTAGACGACCAGGATGTTGAGGACGTTCTTCAGGGAGTTCACCACACAGTCAAACACAGCCTGTGGGGGCAGAGGCACCTCCACACTCAGACCTTGGGCCCTCGACCAGACCCACAGGAAAGGAACCCACCGCCCGCGGCCCGGGACGGGACCTGAGGAAAGAGCCTCAGGAAAAGCCCAGGGCTGCATGGCCCCCACTGTTCATCATGGCAGGGCCTGCTGCATACAGCTGTGGACGTGTCAATAAGTCCAGCACGGGCTAGCACACTCAGTGATCAGTCTAGCCCGGTTATGTCCGGGTTCACACCCTCTCCTGTCCCCAGGACCTCAGCTCTGCTCATCCTTCAGGGCCTTCCCCTCCTGCTGTGCTGAAGCTGTTGCTGAGACCCTCGTGGTCCTGAGCTTAGGAAGAGGAGTCCTAGGTGGGCTGCTGTGAACAATCCCACCCCTCCCCACAGGTGTGTGATCTGAGGAGACCAAATGTGGGGCCTCCCCTTTGCTTATCCCACCCCATGTGGTAAGTTGCAGGGCCAGGTGCATGCACACAACACACACACACACACGGAGACATGCACACAGCACACATGTGCACAAGAATACACATATCTTAATGTAGCACACATATGCACGTAAGACACACAGATGAACATAGTGCACACATGCACACCACACACAGATACACAGCACACAAGAGACATGCAGGCAGCACACACATGCACACAGAATACATATGCATATACTACATGCACACACCTGCAGGCAGCACACTCACACACACAGCACACACATAACACCTGTAGGCAGCACACAGATACCTTCAGGCAGGACACGCACACACATAGAACAAATGTGCATACATCACACACACATGCTTGCCGGGAGCACATATATGCATGCAGAACACATATGTGTGCACACATTCATGCTACACAAATGTGTGTGTGCATGCTGACAGAGAGGCACAGACATGTACACGTGTGAACACAGCACACGATCACACACAACTACCCATTGTGCAAACATGAGCACATACACTTGTACACCTGCATGCATGCCTATGATAACAGACGTACACACACACATACACACATGCATGAATACATACATGCACAAGCATTTACACTCACTGCATGCTCACGTACACATGGACAGAGATGCGCACACATGAACATGTGCACAGAGATATGAGCACACAGAAATGCACACACAAAGTCTCAAACATGCTCATGAACAGTGTACAGTGCTCACACACGATAGCAAGGGGCATGCACACACCCATGCATGAACACCCATATGTACACATATGCCCATTCGCTCACACAAACACTAGCCTGCCCTGCCAGCCCTGACTCTCCAGACTCCAACCTTGAGCTTGGGCAGCCGTTTGATGGTTTTGAGGGGCCGCAGGACACGCAGGACACGCAGGGACTTGATGGTGTTGATGTCTTTCCCTTTAGATCCTCTAGAAGAAGATGCCACAGATGCAGACAGGCAGAAGGACCCTCAGGGCGCCTCGGTCACATCCCTACCAGTTCTTCCAGTGCCCAGCACCTGGTGCCCAGGAAGCGCAGCGCGTCCAGGTGGGAAGAACCCAGCCCAGAGCTACCCTGACACCATCCCCAAACCAGCTGCCTGCAGCTGACCGCGGAGGCCAGCCCCAGGAGGACAGGGAAGATACGAGGAGGCGCAGAGCAGTGTGATGCTGACCCTTCTCCAGGGGCGGAGTTTCCTGCCACCTGGAGGGAAAGGAGACTGGTCTGGCCTCTGCCCCCAGGGCTTTCCCTGCCTAACCCCCTTCAGCTGCTCTAATGTTCTCCTGACTGATGTAAAACTGACAGAAAGGGGGGGGGGTGTTGCAGGATGAGGAGGAACAGTGGAGGAGACAAGGCTAGATGCGTTCAGAGGGGATTGGGAGACAGGGCAGACAATGGGAAAATAAAACACAGGAGGCACGCACAGAGAAATCAAGACAGTGTATCACAGAGAGACCGGAGACCCCAACACGGAGCGGACAGGAGAGGCAGCACAAGACAGTGAGAAGCCAGAGCACCTGGAATCAGCCCACTGAGGCATCTGGGAGCCTAAGCTCATGTCTTCCTGATTTAGGGGTCCATCTCCCTTCAGATGCTGCAGGGCAGGGGGCGTTCGGGGCTCAGGAATGTAGGGTGCATTCACTCGACAACCTCACTAGTTTCCTCTTCTCCATGTCCCTTGTCTCAAAACATTCCCCAGGAAGTCCCAGAGACCAAAACTGATAGACGTGCCAGAGGCTACCCCAGGTGCGTCTCCTCCTTGGGAGACAGTGGCAGACCCAAGCTACACTTCTCAGGTGGGGGTCACACCAAGCACCCCAGGAGAGCCCAGCCCAGCACCTCAGGGCCTCCTTGACACCACCCTAAACCAGTTCCCTGCAGCAGCCAGCTGTGGCCAGCCCCAGGAGGACAGTGGGCAGACATGAGGCCATGCAGACGCTGGAGGGGACTGCAGAACGCTACAGGACATAGCAGGAAGGAGAACAAATGTTCTCACTCCTCCAGGCCTCCCCAGGGAGCACTCCCTGACACCCACACCACTTAGGGACAGGGCTTTCCCTGTCTCTGCAAAGTCATCCTTTCTCCGTCTGGGCACCTGGGGGACACTGGCAGGACTGGCCTCATATGTTCTGTCCCTGGGGAACCAACCACACCCATCGCCACCTTCCAGCAGTCGCTTGGACACCCTGCTCACAGGTCCCTTGTCCCCAAGGGCTGGCCAGCCCAGCCTGGCCCTGCCCCGCCCCACCCCCAGCGGCATGCAGTAGATGTGCTGCACATGAAGGGAGATGTGGATGGGCGGGAGGACAGTGATGTCGGAGCCCGAGGAGGACCACCAGTGTGACTATGTTGAAGGGAGATGTGGATGGGTGGGAGGACAGTGATGTTGGAGCCCAAGGAGGGCCACCAGTGTGACTATGTTGGGGGCAGTGTAGGGGGTGGGGAAAGGCATTACCCCATGAAGCTCCTACCGAGAGTCCAGCAACAGGAAGACAAAGAGAACAGAGTCAGTAGAGGGCAGCTCTGGGCTGCACCCTGAGAGGGAGAGAGCCCCTTCCCATGCCTATCACCCATGGGTTCTTCCCTCCCTGTGTGTCTCGCGCACACCCCACCTGTCCTCAGACACCTGCCTTATGCGGACCCTCTGTCTCTATGGGGGATGTGGTCTGAGGCCCCAACAGGGGCGATGCCCATGCACTCTGGCTGCCCACTGGGCTGGGAGTCACCCAGAGCAAGTCAAGTGGCTTCAAAGGACCTCAGAGTAGGGACCACTCAAGCCTGAGGGTGTCTCTCCCAGGACTACGGGGTCCTCTTCACTCCAGCCCAGCTCCTAGTAGGTGGGTAGGCACATGTGGAGAGCTGGCCAGAGACATTGTACGCTGATGGATGAATGGCCTTGCAGAGTTCTGGAGAGGTGCTCAGGGCAGCCTGGGGGTGGGAGGCTCTGCAGGGGTTTCCCAGAAAGCCCTGGGTGGAGGGACAGCCCACACTGGCCATGACAAGTCCCATCTGGGCAGGGACGCTGATGGGAGCTCCCTTACCCCGCAACACACCACACAGCTCTGTGATCCCCCACGACCGACGGGTACTTACGAGAAGGCAAACGCCACCAGGGCGCCACTGACCACAATGAAGTCCAAGATGTTCCACAGGTCCCGGAAGTAGGCCCCTGGATGCAGCAGGAGACCCAGGTCGATCATCTTTTGGGGAAAAGAATCTTTAATGTTCCATTTGGCCCAGGTGGCCTCGATCTCCTCGACATCAATCTTCCCATGCAGTTCATGATGTGCTGGGGGCTTTGGAACCTGAGGGACACCTTAAGGTTCGTCACCATCTGCTCCTCCTAGCTCACCTTAGATACGCTGGCCCGGGGGCACATAGACAGCCCAGACCCTCAGGGGTTAGCTCGGGGCACAGGGCACAGCTGCAGCTTGGAGTTGGCAGGTCTGCATTTATATCCTGCCTGTGTGGTACCCTAACCCTAACCTCCCTAAGCCTCAGTCTCCTCGTGTGTCAGGTGGGGCCTCCTCACAAGCTTTGGGATGTGAGCAGCAGAGAGCCCTGCCCATGCACTTGGTAAGTGCCCAAAAGAGCCACCCTGATGCCTGCGTGCATAAGGATCCAGTGAGCACCTGTTTGCAGGTTTGGCCACACTGAATGCATGTCTGTGCAAGTAGGTACACCTGTACACACACACCTGTGTACACACACTTTTGCCTGTAAAAACAGACACCTGTACAAACATGTGTTTGTGTGCACACCTATGTAAAGTGCTTTCCTGTGCACACACACACATCTGTGAAACATGCACACCCGAGCACACGCACATCCTGTGAAAATGTGCTCAACTGTCCAAATGCACACACCTGTGCAAACACACATACCAGAAGTGCACATCTATGCAAACATGTTTTTGTGCACACATCTGTCCAAACACACACCCCATTAAGAAGGAGGTGGGTGCCGACATTGTAGACAGACAGTGGGATCTAAAGAAACAAACACCAGGCCTTTCTCAAGTAAGTCACCAGCAGCCTCCCAGAGGTCTCTCCCCACTATCGCTGTCACATGGCCGCCCTCCTTTGCTGACCACATCATTTCCCATGTGGAGGAGCCCAGAAATGTGGCAGGAGCACCCAAGGCGGTGCCGTGCTGGGACTGCTCCCTGGCACCTCCTGTGTGAACTGCCCCACACGTCAGCACACTTGATTCACACCTTCCTAACAGGGTCTCAGATGTGTGCCTTGACTGGTGTCATCTCACCTTTATCACCATCTCAAAGGTGAAGACGCCTGTGAAGATGTAGTCCATGTACTTCAGAACCTAGAACCAACAGGAAGGTGACGCCTAGAGGCAGAGCCTGAAGCTCCACACTTTTCTCCCAGGGCCCAATAGGTGTTGATGGTGTGATCACCCCTCTGGGGCTGGGTTCTTCCTGCTCAGCCCTGACTCGGGCCCTGGGTCCCCTCACATATCCCATCTGGAACATCACAGGAGGGGACCAGACTGCTGAGGTCCCGCAGGACCCTGTCACCCCCAGGAGGCCCCTCCCTTAGGGCAGGCCCACTCACATTGTTCCTGGGGGAGTCGGTGCGCACAGGGTCCTCAGCAGCCAGGGCGATACTGCTCAGGGCAATGACCACGAGAATGACCATCTCAAAGTACCGCAAGGTCACTATATAGTGGCAGCAGCGGCGGAGCCTGGGGAGAAGAGGGGGACCATCATGGACTAGAGATGATCCAGGGGGTTCGCCCCTACACAGGGTCCCACTGGATGGGGCTGCATCCAGAGTGGAGCTCTGCCAAGTGCCCAGGAAAGTGCTCTGCCAAGTGCCACAGATGGTTGAAAAGAGGTCATCTTGAGAAGCAATCCCAGAAAAGGGTGGGAGACTGTGGAACCCTACGCCAGTGGTCAGGCCAAGTGGTCAGCACGTTTTGGTGAGCACTGTTTTACTGGCACCGTCTGGTGACTTTCACACCACCCCAGTGGACAGTACTACAGACATGTCTGGGCAGCATGGCTGAACTACACCATATCGTCCTATGTAGCAAGGACAAAGAGCCTGCTCAGGGAGGAAGACTCAGCTCAGTCTACTAGTGGAGTGCAGGCCTGTTCCTGCAGGTGAGGGAATACACCTGTGAGATGCACACCTTCCCCTCGTAGCCTTTGCTCCTCCCCTCACTGGCTCAGCTGCATACTGCATCTACTCTGCTTAGACACGCCCTAGATTCAGAGACACCACGGGAACCGGACAAGTCCTGGCCTCCAAGGGGACACAGAGCAGAGAGGACATGAGATGAATGCTGATACCTCCTGACCAGGAGGCCTTGGGGAGGGGCTGCCCCGGGGGCACTGGGCTCCCTTGGGGAGGGGCTGACCCCTGGAACTTAATTCCCACAAAGGAGGGGCTGATCCCTCGGGTTCTTGGTTCCCACGATGGGGGCGCTGACCCCAGGGGCACTTGGCATTCACCTCTCCCACCTCACAGACACAGCTGCTGCCCAACTTGCCCCTCCACCTGGGTTACAACCCCCCAGGACCTTCCACCTGAGACAGTGTCCCACCCCCACGGCAGCTGCATGGAAGGTCCTCAGTGCTGTGCTTTTCCTCTGGGCCTTCCTGGCATGAGGGAGGCTGGACACATGTGTACTGGTTGGACGCATGAGCCCAGAGCTGTACCCCTCACTGATGTCAGACCTGGCCCGGCTCATGATACGTGACCCCCTTCTCTCCCACCACTGGCTGACCTCTTACAACCTTGACCTGTTTCTCTGGCTGACCCTGCTCTCTCACTAGGCCGTGACTTAGTAGGGACAGGGCTCTTGTCTGGCCAGCACCTGGAATACTGTCTGGCACGTGAATTAATGCGAGCACCCAGGTTAACAAGACGGGGGTGGAAGCCTGAAGATGTGCCATAGGCACACACCATGGATGTGTCAGCAGATGCAAGAGACACCTAGAGAGCAGACATACAGTGAATGGCAGATGTCTGCATGCAGGTGGGTGTGGGCGGGGCCTGTGTGCAGGTGAGTGTGGGTGTGGCTTGTGTGCAGGTGGGTGTGGGCGTGGCCTGTGTGCAGGTGGGGCCTGTGTGTGTGCAGGGCTGTGTTTGGGTGGATTTAGGCAGGGCCTTGTGCAGGTCGGGCACACACAGGGCCTGGCTGTCTGTAACCCCCGTGCCCTGGTGTCCCCATCTGTCAGTACCCCCTGATCCCTGGCATCCCCATCTGTCAGTACCCCCAGATTCCTGGTGTCCCCATCTGTCAGTAACCCCTGATCCCTGGTGTCCCCATCTGTCAGTTCTCCCATTCCCTGGTGTCCCCATCTGTCAGTACCCCCTGATTCCTGGTGTCCCCATCTGTCAGTACCCCCGAACCCTGGCGTCCCCATCTGTCAGTACCCCCTGATCCCTGGTGTCCCCATCTGTCAGTTCCCCCTGATCCCTGGCGTCCCCATCTGTAAGTTCCCCCGTTCCCTGGCGTCCCCATCTGTCAGTACCCCTGATCCCTGGTGTCCCCATCTGTCAGTACCCCTGTTCCCTGGTGTCCCCATCTGTCAGTACCCCCTGATCCCTGGTGTCCCCATCTGTCAGTACCCCCTGTTCCCTGGCATCCCCATCTGTCAAATGAGTGACAAGTCTTTCCTCCCAGGGTTACTATGATTAATGAACAGACTCAGTGCTGTCACAGGTTCAGTAAATTTCACTGTTGTGCCCTGTGAATTCGTGACAAGTAAACGAGATACAAGAAGGGCCAGATGGGTGGTGGAGACTCACAGGTTGGTGGGGCTCAGACAAAACATGGAGCTGTAAGGAACGATGGGCCGTGGGCCGCCCCTCATCTCACTGTTGACATCAGCCTCCTTCTTGCCCTCCGCCTGGCTCTCCAGGTCCACATTTCCACCTGTGAGGGCACAGGGTCACCAAGTTAGGGCTGTGGGGCACCAGAAACCTACTACATCTCTGCTCTCCCCACTTGCAGCCTTCCCGCCCTCGTCAGGGCCCAGAGATGGAAGACCCCGCCTGAACCTCCTTGCCATGGTCCACAAGAGAGCTGCCCACCACATGGAATTGGGCTGGGTCTCTGTCTCTGCCAGGGGCCTCAGTCCACTTGCTCGACTCACACCACAGCCTTTGGTCCCAGAGTCCAGGCCCCAAACTCTCCCCCTTCCCAGGAGCACTGGACTTCTGTCCCGCTGACCCCGCAGGAACTCAGGCCAGTAGGGGCGGACCACCAAGGCCAATCCCAATGATCCTGGCCTGGGGTCTTTTCTACAACCCTAGAGAAGGGGCTTTCTCACCAGGCTGGGGCTCAGAGCGGACCCACAGGCAGGACGACTTGACGCCTGTCTTTCTCAGTCCTCTCTGTCTGGGGCTCACCGTGCCCGTTCAGCATGTGCAGTCTCTGCTTACTCCACAAACCAGAATTCTGAGGGTCAAATGGCTGTGGCCCTTGTTCTTTTTGAGGTAGGTGTTTTTCTCCTATCAGTTTTTCATTTTTCACTTGTCCAATGGACACGTGAATTCCCATGGGGGGCAGAATCCTGAGACCTTTCCAGAAACCCTGGCTCACAGAAGTGCAGGGCAGCCCTCTCACTGCCATGTTCCACCACACTCACTTCTTCACAGAGGATGAGACAGAGCAAAATCAACAAAATCCATTTAATTCACCCAATTAACAGAATATTGGAGAAAAAACATATGATCATCCTGACAGATTCAGAAAAAGCATTCCATGAAACTCAATATTCATTCATGATAAAAACCATTCTTAGCAACTAGGAATAGAGGAAACTTTCTACCTGATAAAGGTATCAGAAAAACCTTCTCATTTCATGGTTAATAGTGAAGCACTGAAAACTCTCCCTGAAATTAGGGTTCAGACAGCAACGGTCTTGTTACTACTGCCTGATCCCAGCCAGGACAATGGGGACATCCAGCAATGAGAGTACCAGAGACTGGGATGGAAGAGACAAGCTGCAGTTGTTGGGAGATGTCATGATGACAGAAACAGAATACTCAAAGACGCTAAAGAAGTCAATCTAGCGAGACTGTTGATTGCATAAGGGGCTCTGGTTGCACACTGGGCTAAGTGTTGGCCTGAAGTTTGGACCCACCAGCCACTCTGTGGGAGAAAGACAAACTAGTCTGCTTTTGTAAAGACTTACAGTCTTGGAAGGAGTCCTGGTGTGGCGCTGTGGGTTAATGCGCTGGACAGCAAGGTCAGTTTGAACCTCAAGGTCGGCGGTTCAAGCTCACCAGCCACTTCCTAGAAAACCCTATGCAGTGTCACTATGAGTCAGACCCAATTGATGGCACTTCACAACAACAACAACAACACAGCCTTGGAAACCCTAAGGAATAGTTTTACTGGTAGCGTAGTGGTTACGAGTTGGGCAGCTAATCGCAAGGTCAGCAGTTGAAAACTACCAGTGGTTCTGCGGGAGAAAGATGAGCTTTCTGCTCCCGTACAGATTTACAGCCCCGGACACCCTGTGCAGGGTCGCTGGGAGTTGGAACCAATTCACGCCAATAACCACCAGCATAGAGTTCCTGACTGGAGTCCTAGGGTGATGCTGTAGGGTAAGCACTGGAATGCTAACCACAGGGTTGGTGGCTCAAGTGCATCAGGCATCTCATAGGAAAAAGATGAGGCATTCTGCTCTGGCCGAGTCACAACCTCCGAAACCCTATGCAGGGTCGCAATGAGCTGAAATCAATTCTATGGCAAGATGTTACAGGATTGCTGTGAGTCCGAATTCACTCCATGCCTGTGGCTTTGGGTTGTTTTTTCAGCTGGTTGGACACAAGGCCATCCATAAAAATCAAATGTATTTCTCTACATAGCATTCTAAGAGCCAGAAAGCATCAAATATCCTGGAATAAGTCCTAGAAAGATAGTAAGACGTCTTCCTAGAAAACTGCAAGACAATTATTAAAGAAATCTAAGCCCTAAAGAAATGGAGGAATAAGCCATACTCGTGTAAAAGAAGACTCACTATTATAAAGAAGTCAGTTCTCCCTAAATTGATCTTTATTTAGATTCAGTGCAATCCCAATCAGAACCCCAACCAAACTCACTGTCATTGACTCAATGGACTTTCAGAGTCTCAAGACTGTAAATCTTGACAGGGGCAGACTGCCTCATCATTCTTCCTTGCGGGGGGTTGCTGGGCTTGAACCACCAACCATGAGGTTAGCAGCCCAATGTCTAACCTACAGCACCAACAGGGCTCCGCAGTTTCTGTATGACAGTTACCACACTACAGGGAAGCCTAGGTCTTAGCTGATACATGCTGATACCCAGCCCAGGAATGAATGACGTTTGAGATCAGCTGTGAAGACAGCTACGTGAGTGGAGGGGAATCAGACATACACACTCTCTGTGAGGAAGCCAGCTGAGCAGAGCAAGGATGGTGCGTTCCAGACGCGTGCTGATTGCACAGAAACGTGAACCTTGATCCCTGGGTTGCACCTGCAAGGTGTCTGTTGCTCGCTCTCTCAGCCAAACCCTGAAACGCTCCTCAGAGCATCCCACGTCTCTTTAGGGTTTGTCCGGGGTGGGGGGGGGGGGGTGGGTCACAGGGCATGGGCTCCCTGGCCCATCTGTGCACAAGACAGGAGAGGCTGGGTCTGTCTCACGGGGGAGGAACACCTGTCTACAGCACTCTCTGAGAACCGGCCCCTTCCTTCTCTCTACCTTCACACTCGTTCACTCCCTCGGGCTCCGGGTCCTCTCAAGTCGCTTCCTCTTTTCTTGCTTCACTCCAGTCACTTGTTGGCTTCCTGTGCGCCCCCAACCACCTACAATCTGGTGGGGTGTCTCTCGGAGAGCCTCTGCGGATGACGACACATGACACCAGTACTATATAGCCCACGAGGTCCCATGCAAGATGACACCCTCACATATGTCCACTACCCGCAGCGGGATGTGGCTCTGAGAGATGCTGATGACTAGGCCCCCATGAACTTTCTGGGAGTCCTCAGAATCCCCTAAAGAGCAGGGTCCCAAGATGAAAGGGACCCAGCAGCGCCCACTGCTGTTGAGTGGGTTCCAACTCGCAGCAACTCGATAGGACGGAAGCGAACTGTGCTGTCGGGCTTCCGAGGCTGTGAATCTTGGCAGAAGCCTCATCCTTCTCCCTCACAGGGGCTGCTGGGTTCAAATCGCAGACCTTTGGGTCAGCAGGGCTCCTACAATGACAGGGGCAGAACCCTGTCATTGTAGGAGGGACTGGACTTCTGAACTCTGCAGTCCACCCATCATCACCCTGTCCTCCACCCAGCCCAGGACACTCTTCACTTCTTGTATTGTTGTTACTAAGTGCTGTCAAGTCCCTGGTTCCTAGGGACTCTGTAAGGGTTTCCGAGATGCAGCTGGTAGGTTTGAACTGCCAGCCTTGGGGTTCGCAGTCCAGTGTTTATCCTACAGCACCACACTGCCTATGTATTTTTAAAGAGACCTGGTGACATGGTGAATTAGTGCTGGCCTACTAATGGAAAGGATAATGGTTCCAACCCAACAGCTTCTCCATGGGACAAACGACTTACCGTGTTGGAACCCCCTAGGGGACACTTCTACC